AATTTTTTCTGCTGAGTTTTCTTTTACATTCTATAATGTTAAATGTATTTTTTTTAATTTTTATTTATTTATGATAGTCACAGAGAGAGAGAGAGAGAGAGAGGCAGAGACACAGACAGAGGGAGAAGCAGGCTCCATGCACCGGGAGCCCGACGTGGGATTCGATCCCGGGTCTCCAGGATCGCGCCCTGGGCCAAAGGCAGGCGCCAAACCGCTGCGCCACCCAGGGATCCCCTCTATAATGTTAATGCTGACTACCCTTATGTATGTATCAACTATGTTATTCCAGTATCAGTTAACTCTATTCACATTTTTAGTTAGCATTTTTTTTTATTTTTTATTTTTATTTTAATTTATGATAGTCACAGAGACAGAGAGGCAGAGACACAGGCAGAGGGAGAAGCAGGCTCCATGCATCGGGAGCCCGACGTGGGATTCGATCCCGGGTCTCCAGGATTGCGCCCTGGGCCAAAGGCAGGCGCCAAACCGCTGCGCCACCCAGGGATCCCCTTTAGTTAGCATTTTTATCCTAGTTCTTAGTGAGTTTGCTGATGGAGTTTTTTTCCCTTCTGTTCCTCAACCATTATTATAGTTAATGGAATGCTGGACTTTTCAGATTTCCTTAAGGCTGTGAATGATGTTTGTTACTTGGTCTCTCAGGATCCAGGTTAAAAAAATGATTCTTCAAAATTATAGAGAAGAATGATTTTGATTGTAACTGATTTTAAGGTGGGGTGGTTATATTTTTCCTGAATCTCTTAAGTACTTTCCCCCCAGTAGTCTAGGTTGAGAAAGTTTACACGAGTTATTTCATAAAAGGTACTAAAAACCTGGATCACTTCCATGATATCCTAATTTTCTTTCTCTAATCTCAACCTTTTTCTGCACACAACTGCTAAATTAATTTTCTTAATGTAATTTTTATCATGTCATTCTCCTCAAAAATTTAGATGCTCTTCCTTTGATCAAACAAATGTACTCCAAAGTCTTATGCTTGTCATAATTTTGCTTGCCATTCCTCCTTTCTCCATAGAATCCTTTCCAAGCAAAAACCCGTGCTCCAGTTAATCAAAAATCCCTATATGTGTCAACTTCATTCTTTTTCCATACCTTTTTGTTCATGTATTTTTCTTTTTTTTTCCCTTTGAGGTCTCCTGTTTTCTTCTATATGTTAACAGTACTCTCCTTACTGCTTCTGTTTCTCCCTAAAATTTCAAATACTGATGGATCACCTAACAACTTTTAGTTTACACTAGATATAAATTGCAAAGAAAGTGATTGGAAGAATTATTCATCTTAATGATAGAAACAGTGCTTCTAAAAGTCTGAGATCTCTAGTGTGCATGACCTAATTTGAATAGTTTCTTGGTTTAAAACAAAACAAAAACCAATTCCCTGGTTTTTCCATTAGGCAAGATCAAGTTCCTATAATCAGTCCTTGGGATTATATATTTTTGTAGTCAACCAGACTGTATTTTCTTAGAATCAATGGTATATGAATATGCTAGTCTTCATATACCTGGATAAGCAAACAAGAGACAAGAAAAACTCTTTAATGTGTATATATTCATTAATGTAATAAATGTTATTAAATGACCTACCATATACAGCACTTTACAATATAGATATGATGCTTGGCTTGTTTTTCCTTTGTTAACTCCTTATTTCCTACTTAGCATTTTTATTAACTCCTATAGCATTAGGTTTCTCCTGGTTCTCCTTTGTCTACTTGGTTTTCACCTTACAGCCTTTTCTTGACCATAGATTTATATGTGTGTTTGGGTTCCTAAGTGCTGCCTACTTTTCGTGCCACAATTTAGCTTCCATGTATTCCTTTGTTTTTCAAGTCCCAATTTCCTATTTTAAACTTATTTTTGTTTATTTAAAGGTTCTGATGCCAACCAAGAAGTCCCAAGTTTCTTCTTTACTTCCTAAAACGGTATGCCTAATTCTTGAATATGTTATTTTTATAAAATATCCAAGCAATATATGAGTATAAAAATGTAAAAGACCCTCTTTAATCCTTCCTAGGTTATTAGTTCAATGTTGACTTTAGAATCTTTTTTATATGCAATTATGAACATATATATGTATGTATACATACATATATATTTTGTAAGACAAAATGAGTTATCAATTACTTGGCAGAGGAGAATAAGAGGGCCTAAATCTTATAGAGGCAAGTAAAAAGATCAAGCATACATTTAGGAATCAAGACACTAAGAAAATTTTTAAAAATAGAACTATCTTCTACTTTAAGAGAAAGGGATCATGCTATATATATATATATATATATATATATATATATACATTATATATATTGTCTAGCATGATTTTTTTTAAACTGAATATTATGTCTTGGAAGGTTTTTCATGCCAGTAGATATGAGTCAATGTATTACTTTTTAATAGTTGCATGGTATCTGAAAAATGTATATACACTATAATGTGTTTAATAAATCCTTTATTATTGAATATTTAATTGGTTCTAATTATCTTAGCATTATAAACAATTTCACAGTAAATATAACATATATTTTATATATATGCATACATACTTTTGTGTTATATGTATGCCTGTATCTTTATGATGCCTTTGTAAGGTAAAATTAGTTGTCAAATATTAGGTAGAAGAGAACCAGAGAGATTCTATGTATGCATTGGGGCATGCTTTCAAAACTCAAATAGTTTTCAACTCTTCCTTAGCTTTCACTTCCTGCTCATGTGTATCTGCAGGGTAAACCAGAGGTGAGAGTTCAGGACCTGCTGAGGCTTTCCTGGGTATGGCCTTATCTATGTGTGTGGCCATCTAGATGCTCAAGAATATGTTAGAATTCAAAGCCCTCTATGGACATCTCATTTCTCAGATTTTCCTTTTAAGCTTGTTTGCTAGCCTATTGTTTGCTGTTTTTATTGATTTGGAAATAGACCCATGACATCTTTTTGAGTGGAAAGACAGTGGACTTAATATGTACTGTTTCATTTGGGTGAAATATTAACAATCTTTGATGTGCATAAAGAGACATAGAAAGATACATGAGTAGGATGTTAATCAAAATGCATCATTTTTTTCATACTCTTAGATGGGAAATTTGTTGTTGCTTTTATCTTTATTCTCTATGAACAGTTGTGGGTTTGACTTTTTAAAATTAGCAGGTCATTGGAGAAACAGCAATAGCATTGAAGGGCAAGGACTTCAGAATATGACTTTTTTGTTGTTTTTTGTTTCAAGTTTTACTTAAATTCTAGTTAGTTAACATACAGTATAATATTGGTTTTAGGAGTAGAATTTAGTGATTCATCATTTACATATAACACTCAGTGCTTGCTTCAGTTGTTACCCACCACTTCAAGCAGTCATAATGTTAACTAATTGCCTCTGATTGTTTTTGATGAGTACTCCTGGGGAAAAGATTCTGCATTGGGCAAGCTTTGAGTCAAGTCAAATAAGGACAGCTTTACAAGTAGGGTCTTCCAGGGAACCACCAGTTCTTAAGGCATGGGACCTTGAAGAAGTTCCAACCTCATTCTTCTGCATTGGCTGTCAGGCTGCTGTTTTTCATAATTGTAGGCTCTTAGTTTTCAGTTTCTGGGAAGCTGGGATGGTGAGATGGGAATATGGCAAGTTAAAATGCCACAAAGTTTACTATTACTGAGATTCCAGCATTTTTCTTGAAAAAACACTCCTTGAATTGTTGTAAGCCTTTGATTTATATCCAGAGTTTTGAAAACAATTGATTCTGACAATTTTTGCCAGTGTTCTCATTGCTTTTATGGAGGCAAGGATTCTCAGAGGTACTTCCTCTGCCACTTTTGCCCACTTGATCAATAATTACTAATTGAATGAATGAATAATGAATGCCCAGTTCTTCCTCCCTGACTGTACAAATCAATACCTTTTGGATCATTATGCTTCTTATATCCTGCATTCCAAGAAAATGTGGTATAAAATGATTTGCTTTCTAGAATTGCTTGTGGGAATTATGTTTCCTTATCAAATTAAGAGATGCGGTGGTCTGAGGAGCACTTAAATTTAGCACTAGGACCAGATATCAATCTGTTTAGATTTTAAGAAAGAGATTTATTTAGGGAAAATTCTCTCATTAATATGAATATTTTCTTCTAACTATGTTCTTTCCAATTCATTTTTGATACTAAGGACTGTTAGCATAAGAAAATGAAGTTTAAAAAAAAAAGAAAATGAAGTTTCTATGGAGAAATAGAAGACCTTTTATAGTGGTTAACCTGTTGTTAAACTTTTTGTAATATGGTAAAAAACCTAAAGAGAAATTTTGCATCTACTCCATTCTTCTCTCTTTTATACTATTTTTTCTAAATTACATTTTTAAGCAATTAATGATACCCTCAAATTTTGTATTAAGCAGCCTTGCTCTTACGGATTATACCACTGGTAAGAAATTATTTTAGTTAAGTTTTAACTAAGAGATTAATATAGTATAATGAGAGAACCCATACCTTTTATTTATTTTTTAAAAGATTATTTATTTATTTATTTGTTCATGAGACACACACACACAGAGAGAGAGAGAGAGAGAGAGAGAGAGAGAGAGAGAGGCAGAGACATAGGCAGAGGGAGAAGCAGGCTTCACACAGGGAGCCTGATGTGGCACTCAGTCCTGGGACTCCAGGATCATCTGGGCCGAAGGCAGGCGCTAAACCACTGAGCCACCCAGGCATCCCAAACCCATACCTTTTAGTACAATGCCCATAGCTTTTAGCATAATGCGTGGCATATGAATAGCATTCAATAAACACCAGTTATTGCTAATATTATATCAGTAGGGATAATAGAAAAAATTACATTTTATACTAGGAATGTGGTGAGAATTGGGCAAATGCCTATTTATAGGTAAATTTTTAGAAAATTCTATGCCTTTGTAAAGTTATTTTCCGTTGGTGGCTTATTGACACAAAATCAGCTCCTCCAAGAAAAGCTATTCATTCTCATGGTAAAATAACTTCTTTGTTGTATTTTTGCAGCATTCCAGAATGCCCTGAAGATTTTCTGTAGGATAAAAAGTGGTCGAGTTGCAACTGATGAACTGGCTGCTGTTTTGAATAGCATGGATATCCCTGTAATCCCTGAAACTTTTCAGGAAGTGATAAAACATGCTAGTATAGACAGTGAGTTATTTGAATTCGTGTGTGTGTGTGTGTGTGTGTATAGTGTGTGTGTATCTGTATATCTATATCTATATCTTGGATATCAGTTTCTGATTGATCCTTTATTTCTCCTCCTTTTTCTTCTTGATACTTGCCTTTTGCCATCATCACTGCTTACTGATGTCTGTGGTGAGAGATAGTCTAGGGAAATTAGATGAGAAATTTCTAAAATTGTTATATTTGGTATGTTTGGTAAAAATCTAAGAGAAAAATGGATTTATTTTCTTTTCAAACTTACCTCTTTTCCATAATCATTTTCTTATCTGTGTAGAGATGGTTTCTGTAGTGTCAAGGGCATTGGCTTTACAAGTTAGGAGACCTATATTTTTTGAATTTAAAATTTTATCAGATAGCTTTGATTACACAGTGCTTCTTATACTTTTCAGTTATTCTCCGCAAAATGTAGATTTCGTTTAAACATTATAAATATATTTAGCAGATGTTTTGTATTACATGTTTACATGTCACCAGAGGGTGTCTGATAATAATAGACTGATAAATGATTGATTCATTGGTTATCCATTCATTTAATGAGTCAGATAGTCATTTAATATCTATTGTGCTTGGAACTCTGCTAAGTAATACACAGATGAATAGAACACACTTGTTTTTCCAAAGGAGCTCACATTCTAGTGTGGAAAGAATTAAGTAAAATGAAAATTATAATGTGTAGCAAATACTATTATAGAATGTAGATAGGCTGCAAATGTATCCTGGAAGCACCATGGAAAGATTACTAGAGGTTGTGAGTCTGAGCTAAATCTTGAAGGATCAGTAGGGGTTAGTTGGTTGAAGGTGTTAGTGAAGAGTAAAAATATTTGAGACTGACGGAGTAGTTTGTATAAATATGGCAGAAAAATAATCAGACATGACATACTTTTCATTGGGCTTCCACTGGTTTTTGTCATTTGTTAGTGGTAGCTTTTTAGTGGGCCTTTGGTTGCTAAAATGTGCTGTGAATATAGAACCAAACTGCATGGATTTTTTTTTTTTTTTTTTTTGAGAGTGAGAGGAGAGAGAAGGGCAGAGAGAGAGAATCTTATACTGGCTCCACAACCAGCACAGAGCCCAGTGCCGGGGGTCAGTCTCACAACCCTGAAATCAAGACCTGAGCTGAAATCAAGAGTTGATTGCTTTACCAACTGAGCTACCCAGGTATCCCAGGCTGTATTGTTTTACTAGGTAGTCATTTATGGTTCTGTGTGAGTAGACAGAAGTGGGGGAATGTTCTGAGACATGAGATGTCCATAAAACAGGGACTTTAAAGATTAATCTAAGCTATATTATTAAATAGCCTTTACGGCATGTTCTACCAGAAGTAGAGAAATCATATATGAGATCACTGTAGCACCTTTTTTTTTTTTTTTTTTTTTTTGACAGGGAATTCCAGTCTGGACTTCTAGGCCTTCTACTTTATTTGGGGAGCTAAACTGAAGGGTTATGCTAATTTCATAGGATTGCTGTAGGAATTAAATATAAACATTTATTATTGTGTTTAGCACCTAGAATAGTCTCAAGAAATGTGAAGCAGAAACCTGAGAATTATCCTTGACAACTCTGTTGTCATAATGCAATCATTATGAATTGCTATTATTTAAAATTCCTAGATGTCTCTTAAATTTATTTTCCAATATTCCTACTTTAGTCCAAGTTACCATAATCTTTCCTTAGGACCATCAATGTTCCTCCTAACAAGTCCACCCATATCCGGTCTTTCCTCCTTACACTGTAGCCAGAATAATCTTTTGAAAACACACATCTCATCATGTTACCTCTGTGCATAAAATCTAATACTTCTTGGGATAAAGAACCCTTTAACATTACATTCAGGGCTTTGCAATAGCTGTCCTTTACCATAGGTCTCCAGGTTTTTTGCAGACCACATTTTATTTTGGTTACTGTGCCTTCATGGATATTCAGTAGTATACCAATGCCTCCTCTTGCCATAGCCTTTGCATATGTTCTTTTCTTTCCCTGGAACATTCTGCTCCTACTAGTTAGTTCCTACTTATACTTTAGATTTAAACTCAACTCTATAGGGAAGTTTCTATGACATCTCTTAACTAGGTCAAATTCTCGTATTATATACTCTCACAGCACTAACTATAGTTGCAATTTTTATTTCTTACTGTTTTGTTTTTTCCTCTTATTGTTTTATTAAGATTTGTATCTCAAATAAAACTAAGCAGATATCATGTCTACTTTTGCTCATATTGTATCCTTAGTACCTACTAGTGCTTATGGTACATATTAACTACTCAACAAATATATGTTGAATGAGTTAATAACTCTCACCCTTTACTCCATTCCCTCTAACCAGGGAGAACAAGATATCTTCATTTTGTCATTTTTATAAGCTGGTTGTGACTTAAGGTAAAATTCCTCATAGGGAACGTCCTTGTTCTTTTGGCTAGGAAAATCATTTTAATGAGTTTACTGGATGCCCCATGTATTATGAGATCTTTCTGCTCTGGCTAATGGGATCACAAATCATTCTCAATTATCAGTGAGCTATAGGAATTGTTCTACCTACAATTTCCTGGTAATTCTTTCCATGTCCTTGAGTAGTATCTTCTCATATATGTGCAAATTAATACTCAAAGAGTTAATGGTAATCTCCAGAACTCAGCAGTTCTCTCTTTTTGGCACTCTACTCCCACATTTTAGACTCTGGCCTTATTGGTCTCTTATCTCTGTTTCCTCTACTCATTCAAACCAGCGGGCTCTATTCAGGTTTTACTTTTCCTACGCTACAGTTAGAAACTCCTTCTAAAAAAAAAGAAAAAGAAAAAGAAACTCCTTCTAGACAGTAAGCTGGTACAGCTGTAGGATTCCCAGCTGGTTTGTTTCTCTTCTTTAAAGGATTACTTAGTCCTGTGCTGCTTATTGTCCAATGCCTGAAAATGATTTTTTTCACATAACTTATCCAATTTTTTAGTTATTTAAGGTTTGAGGATAAAGTTGTTCCCTATCACATTGTCTTAGTCCAAAGCAGAAGTGTCAAAGATTTTATCTTATTTTTTTACCCATTCACTCGCCTGTTTCTTTTTGATAGATCTTAGAGATGATTTCTAAACTTTTTACACTTAAAACTATTACAATGTTATATGTCAACTTAAAAAAAAGAATTTCAAAAAAGCATTTCCAGACATTTAGAATCCAAATATTTTCCTTTACTTGTTCATTCTAACACAAACTAAACTAAGAAACTTTCTATTTTCTCTAAGTGAAATGACTTCATAGTCAAGATTTTACTGCTACTCTATTGAAGTTTCTTGTTTTTCTTTGATTTTATAACATCTTGATCTCATAGGGTTGTTTTGAGGATCAAGTATTATAACACTTGAAATACTTTTTAAATGTGTTATTCAAATATAACGTACTATTCGGAGCCATCAAGCGGACTTTATAATTGAATCTCCAGTGGGACATCGTATTAATATTTTTCTAAAGATTTTATTTTATATATAAAGCTATTTTTCCCTCACAACTACTAAGTATCTTTAGAAGAGTAAATATTTGTACTCTGATTTATAAATAAAAATTTCCCCACTACAACTTCCTTGTAGTTTGGTACGCTCATGACTAAGGGATTTGTAGCTATATTGACATATCAGCGTATTATCTTTCAAAATTGGCAAAGAGTGGGGAATGAGAACTATGTGCTTTAGGAACCTATCGCTTTGATTTAGTGTAATTTTAGGATGGAAGAATTTAAATATATCAAACCAGAAGTTTATATTTAACCTAGTCAATATATTATTGTTCATTTTTGGTTTTCACTTCTGTTTTTTTTTTTTACATGTTAACTTTGTTTTATTTATTTAAGCAATTGATAATTTCTTGAATAGTTTTCATGAGAACTTAGTTAATATTTTTAAAAAACTATTTCAAATTGTACAGGTAAATTAAACAATTAAATATGTTTCTCTTGCTTAGCAGTTACAGAATGGTCAAGCCCTGGACAAATCTACTTCTAACAGAAAGTTATCAAATATATCAGAATGCTATCTACAATATAGGAAGAAAAATATTTTATCTTCCAGACCATTTGAACCATCATTATTCCCAAAGTTAAGTAGAAAACACCTCCAATACCATAAAATTATAGAGGATAATGATTACCTTGAATTTAGAAGATCAAAAAATCCTTTGCAAATAAAAAAATTCCTAAGTGAGGTTGATAGCAGCAATATAGGATTCCAGGAACTATATTCAAAGGATGGCATAAGCTTTAAGAAAAGTTCAGAGAAGATTGAAATTCATGACTCAAAGTCTATACCACATAACTTGAAGAGTATTACAAGCCTCAAAAAGTCTCTGGATAAAAGTGATACTTTTAGTATCCCCAAACTTCAGAAGCCAACTGTGAGAAGGCATTCCAGCCCCCTAAAACAGGTTTCATCAAAGGAAAAAACTGCAGTGAATGCTCTGGGTTAGTATCATGTATGTAAGTCAAAATCTAGGTCCTTGAGTTCTTGAATCATCAGAGAAACATACTGAATCAATCAGTTATTAGATAATTGTATGCATTTCAATTGTCAGTACTTTTGAGTAACCATGACTTCTGGTCTGTAGGCCAATGCATATAAACTGTGGTTTTGGTGATTGTGCCTTTCCAGATGCTCCCTTTTTCAGATGCCTAACTTTGACCAAGAAGCTGATTCAGTGATTAATTGGACTCACTCAAGTTCAAGAAAAGAGAGGACCTGTAGTCTTTTGGAAATGCTTATTTTACAGTTTATTTAACCAAGTATGTAAGAAGTCTATGTGAAATTTTTGCTCAGATTCCATAACTTAAATATATGCTATCCATATCCAGTATAATATAATAATACTTCAGATATTATCTCTTATGGATATGGGAATATCAAGAGAAAATTAATATTATATATCTCAGCTCATCAGGGCTTTATGGTCTTCTTCAAAGATGAGCAATAGTTCCCAATCAATATGTGTTTTCTTCCTTCTGTGGTACCTCTATTACAGAAATAGTACATATGGAACTTCAATTCTCCTTCCTTTAGTCTTGACTGAAGTTAAGTTTATTTTCTTTAAAGAAACTAGTGACCTTTTTATTGCATTTCATATTACATGTGATTGTTAAATTAGTGCTTAGCGAAATATTAGTGATTCTTATACAGTAATGCATATTACAATAACTCATTTGAAAAGGGAGTGTGTTCTATTAAGGAGGCACAATCAGATTTTCATTCTGATTCCTTTACTAATGCACTACTATTACTCTGTGCCTTATTCCTATTTCTGAGTTTTTTATATTCCAGGAAGAATTAGAACCCTGGTTAAAGGAATAATGGAAGAATAGGCATTTAGCCAGTGAGTAGAAGATTGTGGAATAAAGTGGTTATCTATCTTCCTGGTGTCACTAAAATCAAATCACCTACCATTGCCATACTTAATGTTCCATATGTAGAGAAGTATGAAATAGTTTATCTGGTATAAGTTCTCAAAATAAATTGATGGTAATTGAGCATCTATGAAATATGACTGTCACTTGATTTACATTTTTAAAACATTTTTAGCTTTTCATTTTAAAATAGCTTTAAAGTCATAATAATTATACAAAGGTAAAGACATCCCTATATATTTTTCATCTAGTTTTCCCAGGTGTTAAGATCTGATATAACCACAGTAAATGTACAAAACCAATAAATTAATGGTGATACAATATTTACTATTCTGAAACCATATTCAATTTTTTTCATTTGGTCCATAAATGTCCTTTTTCTGGTTCAAGGTTTCATCCAGGATCATACATTACATTGAGTTGTCATGTGTCCTTAATGTCCTCCAATCTGGGATGATTTCATGACCATGACACTTTTGAAGAGTATTGACTAGTTATTTTGTATAATGTCCCTCATTTGTAGTTTTCCTTGTATTTCTTCATGAATAAGTTCAGGTTATGCATTTTTGGCTGGAATACCACTGAAGTGATATTATGTCCATCTTAGTGTGTGATATTACAGGGCTCATCATAGCCATGTGTATCTACTTCTAAAATTTTATGATTTGGGGACACCTGGGTGGCTCAGTGGTTGAATATCTGCCTTCGGCTCAGAGCGTGATCCTAGAGTTTCAGGATCGAGTCCCTTATTGGGCTACTGCATGGAGCCAGCTTCTCCTCCCTCTGCCTATGTCTCTGCCTCACTCTCTGTCTTTCATGAATAAATATATAGAATCTTTAAATAAATAAAATCTTATGATTTTTGAAGATTGTGAACTGAAAGCATGATAGAGTAAAGTGATAAGAAGGGGAAGAACTCTCATTTTTTATTTAGAATTGTAGAATTTGAACACCTTGATATTTTGATGTCTTGAGCCCATTCATTATATTCTAATCAGAACCAAGCAGTATTGGCTGGGCCACTTGAACAGGCTGTTCCTCCAAACAAGTAGTTTATAAATGTTTATAGAATGTTGGCTAATTCAATTTAAATTTTAAAAAATTTAAAAAAAAGAATTTTCAAGATTGTTTTCTGTTTGAGAGCTATAAGGGAAGTATTTAGGTATAATGTAAGCTACAACAGAAATATGAAAAAACAGTCCTATGAGATGATAATAAGTAGATAAAACTTTCTTTCTGATTACTACATAAAGATTTTGTATACTAATCATTGCTTAAGACACATAAATTCTGTTTCTGAGTAGTCCTCTACATTTTGTATATTTAGAAAACATCTACAAAGCTATCAATAAACTCCAACAAAATTACATTGCTGCAGAAGAACTTCAATCCATTTTCCTTCGATAGGAATTACTTTATCAGACAAAGAGTTCAAGAAGATTGTGACAGACACTACTCAAAATGGTGAGACTGATAATGCCAAACTTTTTGAGAAAATTAGATACTTTTATGGGATAGTATTAAATGAGTAAGTTCTCTCAACTAGGAATAGAACAGAATGGGCTATATTAAAGAAGATTCTAAAAGAACAGATATAAAGATAGAAAGTAGTAGTAGTAGTAGTAGTAGAAGAAGAAGAGGTTGGAGGAAGAGGAGGAGAAGAAGAAAGGAGGAGAAGAAGGAGAAGAAAAAAGAAAGAAGAGGAGGAGGAAGAGGAAAGTAGTTTCTGGAAAGTCTGATCTAATGTGTTGGTTTGGAGGAGCTAGGCCTTTTGTACCTCAGAATTGTTTATGTAAGACTCCATGATTATCCCTAGCTAAGGGAAGCCTGATCCAATTATAGGGAGGTTCAGGCAGTAAGACCACAATATTCAAGGGATCTCTAAGCAATTAGCCTAAGGACCCAAGAAGAAAGAATTGGAGATTCCAAAATGGAAGAGTGCTACAGCTAGGAATTTAGGGCTAGGGATACTTAAACAAAAGGCAAGCAGTTAGTATCTAGATGTTAAATGGCATATCTCAGTTACCAGCCTAAATTTAAGGTAGAGTTTAAGTTTTTACACTTGATCTTAGCCAAAAGGCTGAGAAGCGATTGAGAGTTAAGTTTTTAGGAAAGGCTTTGTATTAGAGAAGTTGTTTTTATCATTTAGTAAGAATTGTCTACAGCAGAAGTTCAGTTGAGGAGAGGTCAGAGGCAACATTTTAGGAAGAGACAGACTTGGGAATATGTTAGAAATGAATTTTTAGAACCTGGGCAAAATGTCCTAGCTAAGGCAAATAGAAAAGATTTGATTTTTTTAAAAATCTAAGGAATAGGTGCTGTTACAATTATTGAGCCCTTTCTGTCACTAATGGACTAGCATGATCACTGATGGAGTGTTTGTATCTAAAAATAGGTAGTTATTTGGATCAGCTGGATACTAGGGGTAGAGAGAGGGACACTTGGGTCTCTAAAGGGCTGGTTAGTATTGTCAAGGGACCTTGATGCACCTTGTGCATATTGACTGAATTTTCATGATGGTGTAAAATAGACTCAAATTTCTCATGGTCCGTCTATATGGGCACTTTTCTTTTTTTTCTATATCTATCAAGTACCTAACGCAGTCCATTGCACTTTATAATAGATATTTAAAAGTTGTTGAGTAATTGTTGAAATGAGCTGACCTAATTTAGAAAGACTCATCTAGGGAGACAAGATATGAAGTTTCAATAGGATGATGATGAAATAAAAGAGAAGTAATTCTTTCCTAGTTGTATTAAAATATGAATTTACCTTTTATGCCAAAATACAACAGAATGCATAATCCAGCTCTTTTTTTTACAGAAAGTGGAATGGTGAAGTTAGATGACTTTATGAGTGCTCTCTCTGTGGAGCAAAGTCTTCCTGAATGTGATGGTAGGTAGGAAGTTTATTTTTAAATGATTTGGAGGAAAGAAGCAGTTAGGTTGAAAAGAGGTTCAACTGAACTAAGCTTGCTTTTCAGATAGATACTTAATAGTCCTGAAATCTTCAGGCAAGCCATTTGCCAGTTTTTTAAAAACTTACTCTATCAAGGTAATAATAGCTAACTTGTTTACATCACAGAGTTGTTATGTGGATTTTAAACATTGTAATGTACTACATAAATGTACAGTAATAGTAAGATTACGAGGAGATCAAATAGGTAATGGCTCCATCATAGCAATTTATTGGGGATTTGATTTAATTTTTATAAGGAACATGTTTGAATGAAACACTGTTTTGATTTACCTTTGTTTTAGAGCGTTTCTAAAAACGATTCTATTGAGGTGTAATTATACACATATAATTCACGCATGCAATTTTTATGAAATTTATAGTCATGCAACCATCACCACAATTAAGTCTTTAAAAATTTTTGCTTGCAATGACTTTATTTTTTTATACAAATAATTAAATATTTTTCAGCAAGATTAAAAGAAATGAAAGATAATAAGGCTTGTTGTTTTTATTTCCTTTTATTTATTCCTATGCTAAAAAGAAAGATAAGCTTTTTGTCTCTTCCCAAAAGATTTCTCAGATAAGGAAAAATTAATCCAAAGGAAGAGATTTTCTCTTATACCTAGATGAAGAGTCTCATTTTTTTTTAAAGATTTTATTTATTCATGAGAGACAGAGAGAGAGGCAGAGACATAGGCAGAGGGAGAAGCAGGCTCTCTGTGGGGAGCCTGATGTGGGACTCATCCCAGGATCCCTGGATCATGACCTGAGCGGAAGGCAGATGCTCAACCACTGAACCACCTAGGTGTCCCAAGAGTCTCATATTTAAAGCTAAATTATCATTTGTCATTTCTGATGAATGCAAGTGCTTAAGTGTCTGGATTTCTTAAAGGCACTATTATCAAATCAATTTCTTGAATGCTTCACCATACAATAATTTATTCACCAACTTAGTCATTGTTTCATTGCTGTTTTGTGAGTTAATATCTTGGTCACAGCTAATTTCCTCCAACCATTTCCCCATTATATCATTTTTAAAATTTATTTTTAATCGTGGTATTTAACACAGAACATAAAAATTGCCATCTTAACCATTTGTAAGTTACAGTTCAATAATGTTAAGTTTAAGTATATTCACTTTGTTGTACAGCCAACCTCCAGAACTACTTCATCTTGCAAAACTGAAACTATACCCATTAAACTACACCTACCCATCTTTGCTCCTCTAGCTTCTGGCAGCCATCATTCTACTTTCTGTGAATTTTGCCCACTCCAGATATTTAAGTGGAATCACACAGTATTTGTCTTTTCATGAATGGCTTATTTCATTTATCATAATACCCTCAAGATTCATCTGTGTTGTAGTATATGTCAGAATTTCTTTCCCTTTTCATGCTAATATTCCATTGCATGCATATACCATATTTTATTTGTTCATTCATTCATTAATATACACTTATGTTACTTCAACCTCTTGGCAGTTGTGATTAGTGCTACTGTGAATGTGGGTATGCAAATATCTCTTTGAGCTGCTGCCTTCAGTTCTCTGGAAATTGGACCAGAAGTGGACATAGTTCATTTTTTATATTTCCACCATTCCTAAAATTATCTCATGGCCATTTGCAGTTAAATCTTTACCTACATCCCAGACAACCACTTATTGACTTTTTTTTAAAAGATTTTATTTATTTATTTGAGAGAGAGAGAGAGTATGGGTATGGGTGAACAGTAGGGGAGAGGCAAAGGGGCAGGGAGAAGCAGACTCCCTGACTCAGGGCTCGAATCCAGAACCCTGAGATCATGACCTGAGCCAAAGGCAGATGCTTAACCAACTGAGCCATGTAGGTGCCTTACTTGTCTCCTTTCTATCTGTATAAATTTGCCTCTCTTTTTAATACATTTAATATAAACAAAATCATATAACATGTGGTCTTTTGTGCCTGATTTCCTTCACTTTTTTTTTTTGAGGCTAATTCAGTGGTTCATTCCTTTTTATTACTAAGTGAATCCAAATTATATTTTATGGATATGCTTTATTGATGGTTCACCAGTTCGTGGACATTTCTTATTTGCCATTTGGGACTAGTATGAATATTGCTGAAATTAAACATACCAGAAATATGTTTGTATTTCTCTTGGATAGATTCCTAGGAGAATAATTGCTAGTATGTGTGGTAAATTCATGTTTTGCTTTTAATAAAATTGGCAAACTGTTTTCCAGAGTTTATGATCAGCAATGTATGAGGATTCTAGTTTCTTCATATCCTTATCAACACTTGGTATTATCTTTTTGTGTATAGCCATTATAATAAATACATAGTGAAATTTCACTATGGTTTTATTTTACATTGCCCTAATGACTAATAATGTCAAGTATATTTGTACATGCTTACTAGCCATTCATATATCTTTGGTGAAATATATATTCAACTCTTTTGCCCATTTTTAGAATTCCATTTTGATTTATTTGTAGTGTTTCAGAGTATATCTTCAAGTGTACACTTAAAAACTGTAGCTTTTTAAGTCGTTGCTCCAGGTATTACATTATATAAGCATAATTTACCACAGTCTACTGATGCCATCATTTTACCAGTTCAAGTGAAATACAGAAGCCTTATTTCCTTTTACATTCCTCCCCCATTTGTGATATAACTGTCTTAAATATTTTCTCTACATATATTTAAAACCACATTGGGCAGTATTATAATTTTTGTTTCTACCATTTAACTTGATTAAAAAATTCAAGAGAACAAAACACACTATATTTACACCCATATTTTGGCTTACCATTTTTTTTCTTCCTTCCTAACATTCAAGAGTTCTTTCTTTTATCCTTTCCTTTCTGTTAGAACTTTAGCCATTCATAGGTCTACTGGCAACAAATTCTCTTAGTTTTCTTTCATCTGAGAACATCCTGATTTCCTTTTCATTCCTGAAGAATATTTTTTCTGAGTATGGGATCTTAGGTTGGTAGTACTTTCCTTTCAGTACTTGTAAAGTATTGTGCCACTTTATTACGGCTTCTATGGTTTCTGATATAAATCTTTTAATTCAAATTGATTTTCTTTCTCTACAGTGTTTTTCCTTGGACCCTTTCAAGATTTTTTCTTTGTTTTTAGAAGTTTAACTTTAATTATGATGTGTCTTGATATGGATTTCTTTAGATTTTAGTCACGTGTTTAAGGTTTACTTTTTTTTTCTTTTGGATTTGTATGTTAGTCTCTTGCTAAAAATCTAAAAATTTGGGAAATGTTTAAACATTATTTCTTTGAGCACCTTTTTAACCATGGTTTCTTTCTCTTCTTCTGGAACACAAATGTTAGGGGTTTTTTTTGTTTTTTTGTTTTTTTTTTTTGTTTTTTAAGATTTTTAAACATTTATTTGACAGAGAGCAAACAGGAGCAAGGGGGGGTAGATAGGGACAGAGGGAGAAAGACAAGCAGACTCCCCACTGAGTAGGGAGCCCCATGTGAGGGTCCCAGGACCCTCAGATCACAACCTGAGCCAAAGTCAGATGCTTAGCTAACTGAGCCACCCAGGTGCCCCATTAGATTGTTCTTATATGCCTACAGGTCCCTGAAACTGTTCATTTTATTATCAGTTTTCTCAGTGTTGTTCGCTGGGTGATTTCTATTGCTGTCTTTCAGTTCATTGATTCTTTCTCTTTTCCCTTCAGCTGGTGAGTCCAACCACTAAGCTTTTCATTTCAGTTACTGTATTTTTTAATTGTGAAATTTCCATTTGGACTTTCTGTGTTGGTGTCTGTGCAATAGACAAAGCAGGCTGCTCTCCTGGTCTTCACATACTGTCCTTGTACACCAATCAGCCCAGCCAGATATTCTCTGGGCCTTTACCAACTTTTTCCTTCCCCAGAGGCCAGGAGTGGCAAGACAGATGCTGGTTCTTGAAAAGCTGATGTGCTAGATGCATGGATAAACTCATTCCCTCTCCAGGGGGAAACTAAAAGCTAGGATTTTTGTCTACTCTGTGCTGAGCGGACGGGAGGATCACTTGCATCTACCAGCTCAACACACCACCTTTTTTCTACCTAATCAGCTAGCTGTGCTAGACCCATCAGGGTTCCGAGATTGGCAAGATAGAAGCCAGTCTTCTGGGGAGGCCTTTTGGAAAAGTTGTATTGCTGGATGTATGAACCATTGCTGGATGGATGAAGCTGGGAGATTTTTGGATCATACGGTGCTGCGCTGGGGGCAGGCTCTCCAGCTTTTGCGGGAGGTTGTTCCAAATCTTCCTACCAGCTTCAGTGCATCTGGTTTTGCCTTCTCCTGGGGTCTAAGAGCCTTTTAGTTAAGTTTCTGATTTCTCACAAAGGGAATTTATTTATTTTTATTAAAAAATATTTACATTCAGTTTGCCAACATATAGTATAACCCCCTCAAGTGCCCTCTTTAGTGACAAAGGGAATTTATTTTTGATTTTCTACTAAATCAGTGTATTTGAGAGAAGAAGGGTCCGAGGCTTCTTGTTCAACGATCTTGCTGATGTCACTCATCATCTGTTTACTTTTAAATGAGAATTTCTTTCACCTAAAAATTCATTTCACAAGATAGGAACATGTATCTTGTATGTATTTATATATAAGAATCATCTTTTAAATAATCATCTAATTCAGACATCATTTTGATCGTTATTTCTTTGTTTAGCAATCCATAATGATTTTCAGTGACTCCTAATGTTAACTCCTGATAATGGCTTTAATGCCTTCCACTGCCCAGGTTCCTCATTTTACCTGTCCTAATCACTTATTAGAAAACGTCTACTTAAGTTTAATTTGTTCCAAAGTTTATCACACATGCACACATATCTATCAACCTCCTTAATAATTCTATATATTTGCATGTTATTTTAAGAAAGCTTTGACTGCAGTAAAAAATCATCTGTTTAAATTCAATGGATGGAATACTGCCCAGATTTGTGAAACACATAGTCCAAGATATTTTTTTTAATTTTTTTTTAGTTTATTTATGATAGTCACAGAGAGAGAGAGAGAGAGAGAGAGAGAGAGAGAGAGAGAGAGGCAGAGACACAGGCAGAGGGAGAAGCAGGCTCCATGTACCGGGAACCCGACGTGGGATTCGATCCCGGGTCTCCAGGATCGTGCCCTGGGCCAAAGGCAGGCGCTAAACCACTGCGCCACCCAGGGATCCCTATAGTCCAAGATATTAAAAAGACATGTAGGATAGTTATTTCCAAGTAATTATATATACAGAAGATAAACTAGGATAAATTTACCAAAGACTGAGCCATGTATTGCTACAAAAACTTTCCCCCTTATGTCATATGAGATTGAAGGTTTTCTACTTCTGTCTCTGCTACTGAGAAACAGATTACTGGGAAATTTTAAGTTATTAGAGAATTAAATGGGGAAATTGTATAATGTTTTTATTCCTATGCATTTAAATTGTAATTAAATTGGCACTTCCTTAGATACAGAGACTGTAGTAAAGGAGAATATATTTTTGGCTCTGATTTTATACCTTATTAGTTTTTAGTATTATTAAAGATCCTGGTAATTCTTTTTATGCATAACATTCCTGAAGCTCTTTTATATGTTAACTTAGTGTTAGAACTAAAATTCATCTTACTATTGGTGTTTTCTTTTTTGACTGATATTTATTTTTTTAAAGATTTTATTTATTCATGAGAGACAGAGAGAGAGAGGTAGAGACACAGGCAGAGGAATTATTATATATATTATCCCTCCCTCCATGCAGGGAGCCCGATTCGGGACTCGATCCCGGGACTCCAGAATCACGCCCTGGGCCAAAGGCAAGCGCTAAACTGCTGAGCCACCCGGGATCCCTCTTGACTGATATTTAATACTTATTAGCATACTGCTTTATTTTTAGTGTTCATTGATGTCATTAAAGCCATTGATGAAAGTAAAGATGAAAATATGAATTATGAGGATCTGAATACTTCAGCATTTTGGAGTTTACCTTTCTTTTTTTTAATAATTTATTTTTTATTGGTGTTCAATTTGCCAACATACAGAATAACACCCAGTGCTCATCCCATCAAGTGTCCCCCTCAGTGCCCGTCACCCATTCACCCCCACCCTCCACCCTCCTCCCCTTCCACCACCCCTAGTTTGTTTCCCAGAGTTAGGAGTCTTCATGTTCTGTCTCCCTTTCTGATATTTCCTACCCATTTCTTCTCCCTTCCCTTCTATTCCCTTTCACTATTATTTATATTCTCCAAATGAATGACCTTTCTAAGCCAGAATTTAAGAAGATTTTAGAATTGACTGAAGCTAATGGTAAGTGATACGTTTTCAGGAAAACTGGGTTGACACATATGAAAGAGGATCACTTTGCTATTTTTTTCTCCTCAAGATAATAACTTCATTATTTTTATTAGAAAAAAGTCCATTAAAATTAAATCAATATGGAAAAATACTCAAAAGTACAACAAAACCCACAAAATCCCATTATCCAGAAATAACCAGTATTAACTGCCTTTTCAGACATTTTTTTCCTATAGGCAAAAATGCAAACAAAAAGAAAGTTCCGTGATTTTGCTTTCTGACAAGATAGAAGTCAGGACAAAAGGCATTAAATGAGACAAAGTACTGTTTATTATTTCAAAGCCCACAATTCATAATGAAGGTACTAGTTTTGAGTATCTACACTCTTGTAACTTAGCAACAACTTTTCTAAAGGGAATGGGTGGTAGTGATGTAGACAAGTGGGTGGGATTATAGGTAAACTAAGAATGGCCATGAATTGATAATATTTGCAGCTACAAGGAGAGTACGTGAGCTTTTATTACAAAAGCTTTTTGTGTATACTTTTTATTTTGTGTATATTTGGTTTTCCATAATAAGTAAAAAAAAAAGGAAAAAAGAAATAGAAACAAATATAAGACATGTAAGACCTATGTAGAGGAAATGATAAGACTGTGTTAAGACAGTATAGAATACCTACTTGGGAATATATCCCATATTCATGAATTCAGAGACCCAAGACTGTCAATTCTCCTAATTAATTTATCCAAAGCAATTCTATTAAAACCTTAACTTTTTTGATGAGTTAATTCTAATATTTGTATGTATGAACAAAGGCCAAGAATAGTTAAAACACTCTTGAGGAAGAAAAACATGTGGTATTGGAGGGAACTTGCTCTCCTGGATGTGAAGACTCATTATAAAACTATAGTAAATAAAACAGTGTAAGGATGGCACAGGTTATAGAGAAATTGACTGATAGGACAGGATCAGAAACTTCCAAATATATCCACACACAAAAATGGAAACATATGTAATGAGATGGCAGATCGCAGAGGGGAGAAAACACCATTTAATAAATGGTGCTGGAATAATAAATTACTCAAACTCAAAAAATGGAATCAGATCCCTATCTATTAAAAAAAGATCCCTATCTATTTATCATATTCAGTAATAATTTCTAGATGTGAACCGTAAAAGTTTTACAAGAAAAGAGATGAAAAATTTTCTAAGGAAGGATTATTATTTTTATGTGTTATTTATTTAAATTCAATTAGTCAACATATAGAACATCATTAGTTTCAGATGTTGAGTTCAGTGATTCATCAGTTGTGTATAACTCCCATTGCTCATCACATCACATGCCCTCCTTAATGCCCATCACCCAGTTACCCCTGCCCACTACCTCCCCTCCAGCAACCCTCAGTTTCTTTCTCATAGTTAAGAGTCTCTCATGGTTTGTCTCCTTCTGATTTCTTCCCATTCTGTTTTTCCCTCCCTGCCCCTAGGATCCTCTGCACTGTTTCTTATATTCCTCATATGAGTGAAACCATATGATAATTGTCTTTCTCTGATTGACTTATTTTGCTCAGTATAATACTCTCCAGTTCCATCCATGCCAATGTAAATGGTAAGATTTCATCTTTTCTGATGGCTGAGTAATATTCCATTGTGTGTGTGTATGTATGTATGTGTGTGTCTATACACACCATATCTTTATCCACTCATCCATCAATAGACAGCTCTTTCCATAGTTTGGCTGTTGTCAACATTGCTGCTATAAACATTGGGGTGTACGTGCCCCTTTGGATCACTACATTTGTATCTTTGGGGTTAATACCTAGTAGTGTAATTGCTGAGTCATATAGGGTAACTCTACTTTTAGCTTCTTGAAGAGAAACCTCCATACTGTTTTCCAGAGTGGCTGTACCACCTTGCATTCCCACTCACAATGTAAGAGGGTTCCCCTTTCTTCACACCCTTGCCAACATTTGTTGTTTCCTGACTTGTTAATTTTAGAGGAAGGTTTATTTTTAAGATACGAAATCAACCAGAAAAGTTGATAAATTTGACTACAATTAAATTAAAAACTTTTCTTTATTAAAAGATAATATAAAAAGAATGAAAATACAAGTCACAAATGGAGTGAAGATTATTTGGAACACTCATAATAGCAAAATATTGTGGAGAATATATAGGGAACCCCTAAAGTTAACAACCCAATACAAAAATGGCTAAATTACAAGAATAGCCTTTGCTAGATGAAGGAACATAAGTTACTAATAATCATATGAAAAGACTCTCAACATCATTAATAATCAGGGAAAAGCAAAATTTAGGTCACAATGAAATATCTTTTTATACCCAGTAGATTGGCAAAAGTTAAATCTATTAATTTATTTTTTTAATTATTTATTTATTTATTTATTTTTTAAATCTATTAATTTAATTGTTGGTAAATACAGCAAAAATGGTAAAGGAACTTTGAAAAACATTATGTAGTATTTTGTAAGGTTTTCATACATTGTGACTTAGAAAATTCATGTTTAGCTATAGATCTCAAAAAATCTCTTGCACACAGGTACAAGAGACATGTTTAAAAATGTTCATGGCAGCACTGATCTCAATAGCTAAAAAAAAAAAGAAACAAGAAAAAAACATAATTGGTGATAGAATGTATAAAGAGGTTGTGATATATACCTTTGGTGCATAATGAAATACTAATAGTGTATATGTTAATGAAAACAAACTATAGTAATATACTATATGGATCATTCTTGGAAATATAATATTGAATGAAAAAAGCAAGTCTCAGATTGTTATAAAGGAATATTTTGTTTATCCTGTTTAAAATGATATGTAGAAAAGCAAGAGATTTTAAAAGTTTAACCATGTTTCTCTGTAGAGAAACAGGAGAATGGAATGTTTTAGAAAAGCACAGAAGCAGATACAGTGGTATTAATAATGTTCTTGGATGGTGGGTTCAGTGGTGAGCTGAAATGTATGTGTATCAAATAGATATTATCAAAAATTAGGGAATCTATTGCTTTAGAAAGTTGTATGTTCCTGTTAGTGAATATAAATCTTCATTAACTCTAATATTCGCCCAGAATTTTTTAAAATCTCATTTTTTAAAGTCTCCAAATATTTGGTTAAGAGTACAAAATGAAAAAAAAAAGAATACAAAATGATTTGGTAGTCCTTAAAGTAAACTTTTCAAAGATATTTAATCTTGGGAATAGGACAATAGGCTTTTATAGATTAGAATTAGAATTTTGTGTGTGTGTGTGTGATAAGCAAAGGAGTAGAGTTCTCAAAACCTTGTTATATTTATATAAAACCTTTATGTGTGGCCCTGGAAAATTCTTAAAAATTTTTTATCCATCCTAATATTGGGATATTATATATAATTAAGGAAAGACATTTTCTAAGTAAAAATGACTATTAAAGTGTTTACTAGTTTCAGTAGTATACTGGAATAGAGATAGCAATATGAATGGTAGCCTGATGTAAAAGAAATCAGAAGTCAAGACGGCTCACTTCTAATCTCTGATCTCATATTTCCTTTTATGACCTTGGGAAAAAAATCATGATGTCATATATAAGTATTTTTTTTAAATATGGAAAATAACATGCTAATTTTTGACCTACATACCTTAGTGAGTTGTTGCAAGGCCAAGATAAGGTAATGTAAGTTAAAATTAGAAATGTTGTACACTTGTGACTAGAAGTATTTTGATTAATTTTCCTGGCAATTTTCAGTGTGTTTTTTCTCCCTGTAAGGTGAATTGCTTTTTCCTCATATAATTGTATATTTTTAGTGGTATTAGTTAATCTCCCTAAATAGAGAATTTATTTTACAAAATTCAGTATTTGTCTTAATAATTTAATACTTGAAGATACTGAAGAAAATGTTCTTTTCTCTTTAGAAACAAAAAAAGTGAATTTTAAAGAATTCATTGATACAGTGATGACCAATACAGAATGCTTCTCTGAAAAACTATGTAAGAACATTATATTTTGTGCATTTAATATATCAAATAGTATGACAGATTTTAGAAGACTATAATATACCAAAAGAGGTAGTCATTCTACAGGTCATCAGGCAAATAAATGCCTGGCTTACTGCTGATATGGTTGGCCTTAATTTTCTCCATTAATGATCCCTATATCTATAACACCTTCCACGTGCAAATGAATTGAAAACTATCATATTGTTACTGTTTATCCTCACGCTAGAGAGAGTTAGAACCATGTATATAAAATGCATTTTGGGACGATTTAAAATGTCTTCCCAATTTGGGGAAGTGATGCCATCTAGTGACTATAGCTGAGTGCTAATATGCAGATTTTCTACTTTCAGCTGTTTGTAATCTTCCAATTCAGTAACTTTATTGAGCCATTGTTACGTACCAGGCTTAATGTTAAGCTGTGAGTGTGTTAAACTGAGAAAGACACTCTTGCCACTCATTAGCATTTTAAATGGAGTAAAGTTAATACTTTAAAAATTGGGGTTAGTGGCACCTGGGTGTGTGGCACGCTCTCCCCTGGGGTGCACTTCCTTTGTTAGTGATGTCGGGAACCTGCCCCTCCTGAGTTCCCAGCAAGCGCCTTTCCATCCGTGAAGATTGTTAAAGTTCCTGCTTCTCCGGGACTGGGCTTTCCTGTCCTGGAGGCTCTCCCCACCCGGCCTTAGCCCGGCTCCTTATGGGGGGGGGGGCTGAGGGGGGCAGAGGGCCCTCCCCCACTGGATGCTTATTTATTTATTTATATTTATTTATTTCCGTCTTCCTACCTTGATAGAAGTACGAATTCTTCTCACTGTAGCATTCCAGCTGTTCTCTCTTTAAATCTCAGGGCGAATTCGTAGGTTTTCAGAATGATTTGAAAGTTATCTAGGTAAGTTGGTGGGGACAGGTGACTTGGGGGTCTGACTCTTCCTCCATCTTACCCCCTCCCTCTTCTCTTAGTTTTTAATACCGCTATCCACCCAATTGCTCAGTTCTCAAACGCAGGAGTTCTTGATGGCTCCAGCCTCTCATTTAATTCATCACTAAATACTCTGAGACTTGGGGCATCTGGCTAGTTCAGTTGGTATAGCATGTGATTCGATCTCTGGGTTATAAGTTTGAGCCCCACCTTGGATGTGGAGATTACTTAAAAATAAAATCTTAAAAAAGTTAATATATTCTCAGGTTCATTCTCAAAACACATCCTTTATTTGTCCACTTCTCATTAGCTTCGTCACTATTACCCTTGTTGAAGCTACTGTCCTCTTTTTCTCTGAACTGCTACAGTAACTTCCTAGATGCCTGATCTTCCAGAGAATCCATTCTCAATACAGCAGCAGAGTGATCTTTTACACATTTGTAATGAGATAATTTCACCCCACACACACATTAAATCTTCCATTAAAGTCTGCTGGAATTTAAAAAAAAAAAACCAAAAACTTCATCCCATGGTCTGCAGTGATAGATTGAAGAGAAAATAAGATCCAGGGAAGAATTTTGGGGGAAGATATAGAACAAAAGCTATTTTTTTAAACCTTTATTTATTTTTTTAAGACTTTATTTATTCATGACACACACACACACACACACACACACACACACAGGCAGAGACACAGGCAGAGGGAGAAGCAGGCTCCATGCAGGGAGCCCAACGTGGGATTGATCCCCCAGGTCCCCAGGATCAGGCCCTGGGTTGAAGGTGGCGCTAAATCGCTGAGCCACCCAGGCTGCCCAAACAAAAACTATTTAATTCATGGTTTTATCAATTGGGTTTATTTATGAATTCAGACATGTTTAAATTATAATGCAATGCAAATTACTCTTTATATGGTTATTCAGGGGTGGGATCACTATAAATTCTTAGAATATCTCAGAATCCTCAGACACACTAATTTTGATATTAAATATTTTATTGTGTTTTGATACATGAAAATTGGCAAGGATGCCTGGGTGGCTCAGTCAGTAGAGCATGGGACTCCTGATCTTGGGATTGTTGGTTTGAGCCCCACATTAGGCATAGGAATTATATAAAAATAAAAGCTTAAAAAAAAGAAAATTGGCAATTATTTATGCTGTATTTTTTATTATTCTTAACCATAAAAACCTTGATTCCTGACTAGTCGAGATAATAAGCCTACTATATTAACTTCTTGGACAAGCATGTTGTTAAAACTTGTGTGTTATCTACCCTTTAGTATTGCCTGCTATTATTGAAAACCTCCACAAGCTCAGCAAAGAGAAAATGAATGCTTCTCACCTGTGGAACACTCTGTCTAGGATGAATAGTAACTTGAAAAAAAAAAAAAAAGAATTCATAGATGCACTGAAATTAGCAATAATTGATGGTTAAGTATTCCAAATACTAAAATTAAAAGATATACAAGAATATGTTCTGTCTTCTATCAATCTTTATTTTTCCTTGTATCTCCTATTTGGTGATATGCCAATATACACATTTAGGAAAAATAAAGCTCAGATTGTCCTATAGAAAAAATGTTAATATCTAATTTATTATTACTCTAAATTAATCAAATATGCATTCACTACTTTCAAGTTGTGTAACATGTTACTGGAAAATGAGCACAGTGAACACAGAAGGGATTGTTAGGAAATGTTAAGCGATCTATTACATTTTTTTTATTAACACTACTTAATTAGGATATCCATATGGTTTTGTTGAAATAAGCTTTTACTTAATTTGCAAGAAAAACACATCTGATGGTGGCTACCACTTCTACTTAGTTAGCAAGTAAAAAAAAGAATCAAAACAAAAAATAAGTTCACAAAAGTACTGTAAAACAAAGATCATAGACTAGAATTTTAAAAATAAGATTATCATTTACTGCTAATGTTCTGCAGGCCGGATAAAGGGTAGTAGTATACAAGCACAGGTGAACATTTCTACTCCCTCATGAAGTTACAAATGTATTACTATAACTCTTTTATGTATAATGTTTATGCCAAACTAGGCTAGTAACACAAGCATGTGTCTGGGGTCTTAGTCAAAGAACTGTCTTTCCCTCTGAGGATTACTTACCCCTTTTTCTCCATTAAGCTGCTGCTTAAATGCTGCTGGTAATTTTGGACTTTAAATGTGTTGATTGTTTTGTTTATTGAGATATTTGAGATGAAGAGCGATGGTCAAAATAGAGGAGTACTTACTACTCGATAATAGAGATTTAACCCCCCCCTTTTATTGCAAAACTTCCGTTTCTTTTGATAGAGTGAGTGGAACTTGAAGGCAATACGTAGCCAGAAAAAGTATTAGATAGCATTTATTTTAATCAGACCAATAAGGTATTATTTTATGAGTTATTAAAGTAACTTGGCTATATGTAAAATTACTTATTTTGATAATAAAAACCCCATATACTGTATCCTATTCATTATTATATACTTATAAAGGAAAAACACAGTGTATAAAATGTAGATTTTTCTACCATTTAAATCCAGATATACGCATGATTTTGAAAACTTTGTAAACCCCATCTGTCATATCATTTCTTCTTTTAACATTGGACCTTCAGTACAAAGTAATTTAATTCTTATTTTAATGCAGTGGTTTGCAAAGTTTTGAACCTTGTTATATTTGGTTTTGTATTTAAGTTGGTGCTGTTAAAGCAGTAGAATCCTTTTCTTCTAAATGAAATCTTACAGAGTACCTCAATATATAAATCATAAAGGTTGAGTTTCACTGACTAATCTATAAAAGTTGAGTAAGTGAACTGCTTACATGGCTCAGCAGAGACTTAGAAACAAAGAAAAACTTAAAAATGACTGACCTAGGATATTCTTTTTTGATCATGGTGTGTTAAAAAGGAAAAAAAAAGCTGATTTAGATTCCCTCTACTTAGTGAGATTGAAAAATTATTTCTTGGTTATTGATGGTATTACATATCGACTCATTAATATTTTAAAGTATATTTAAACTTTTTAAAAAGTATTTTTATGATGGTTACAAAAAGGCATTGAAAACTAGAAATGGTATTTATCATTGGGCAAATTTAGAAATGCTTCCCAAATACCTCACTTAATAGTGCCGTGTTCTATCCTATGATCATAAAACTACAGTGATTCTAAATCCTTGGTCTGAGGTTCCCTGTCTCTGACTTGGAAAACAAAGTTACTTCTGTCTTCTGTGTTTGTCACTTCGACTTTGTAATCTAGTATCTGCATGTTCTTGTGTAAGAAATGGGTATAAACATGTGTTAGAAATTATAGGGCCATCTGGCATTGGAAAAATCTTTAAAGTTAATCTGGTACAGTATTTTTATCTTCAAACATTTAAAAGGTTAAACTAAAACTGAAGTTTGTTAGTGTTATCTCTAGGAAAATGGATTATGAATTGTACAGTCTCTTGATTGTTGGAGATTGAAAACTCAGCCTTTCTCCTGTAATCTGAAGGTTTATTCTTTCTATAAAATTAATCTTTTGGCTAGTCAACAATATGAAAAAGAAATATGATTCTTATGAGTACATCAAATGACTTACATTTTTATAGATTGCTTCATTGGATCCTGACTTTTGCTTAGTGAGACTGATCTATTAAAAATATTTTTCTTGGGGCAGCCCCGGTGGCTCAGCGGTTTAGCGCCACCTGCAGCCCGGGGCGTGATCCTGGATACCCTGGATGGAGTCCCACATCGGGCACTCTGCATGAAGCCTGCTTCTCCCTCTGCCTGTGTCTCTGCCTCTCTCTCTTTCTCTGTCTCTTTAAAAAGAAAATATTTTTCTTGCAGAGAATGATGAAATACAAGTAGAAGAATTTGGAAAAGTAGTAAAGGAAATGTGTGATGCCTCCAGGTTAAAAGGTAAATACTAGATTACTTGTGACTGTTAAATTTACTTTTATTGAATGGGTGTCTTTTGCTTTGTTTTTTAGTGTTTCTAGTTCTGCTAATTTATGGTTAAAGTGTTGACATTGATCTGTTTTAATTTTTTTTTTTTTAGATTTTATTTATTTATTCATGAGAGACAGAGAGAGAGAGAGGCAGAGATGCAGGCAGAGGGAGAAGCAGGCTCCATGCAGGGAGCCCGATGCGGGACTCGATCCTGGGTCTCCAGGATCACACCCCAGGCTGCAGGCGGCGCTAAACCGCTGCACCACCGGGGCTGCCCGACATTGATCTGTTTTAAAGCAAAATTTGGTTTTGATTAAAAGTTGGCATCTTCCATGATGAAAGAAAAAGGCTTTTTTCTGGAATGGGGTTTGTGTAAAGCTATTTTAAATCCCTTTTTTTGTTTCCTGACTTTGTGTAAAGTCAGCTACTGGCTTTAAAATTTTTCAGATATGAATATTTCCTATATCATTTTAAGTCTCAGACTTAGGATTCTACCCAGTATATAGGCTTCTGTATTATAAAGTTTCTCAGAAATCTTCTACTACTTCCTTTAGTAGACATTCCTCATGTTTCTTTCTTTGGTTTTTGTTAAAATACAAGAGTGGTCATGTACATTTTGGTAGCATAGGTATTTTCTACTCCTTGACTTCCATTTTTGCTTAAAAGTTAAAAACAGAACTAAAACCAATGAAGATCATGTTCATGGAGTCTGTGTACCTTTTTGTATGGAAAATAAGTTTAAAACCACTGCTAATTTATTTGAATAACCCACTTATTTTCCATTTTGTATGGAAAATAAGTTTAAAACCACTGCTAATTTATTTGAATAACCCACTCAAATGATTATTCAATCAATAAGCATTTACCAAGAAAAGAATAACAACATAGGTATATTTTTAGGGAAGCAGATGCTGAATCATTTCTGGGTATGAAGAAATAGGTAAATACTTTTCGGATTTTCAATAACTACTCTGCCCTGGCATATGAAGTTTCTGACATTATTGTTTCTGTTTTAGGTTAGGAAAAGTATTTAATAATTCCCTGTTGACATATAAATGTGTTACTTGGGTCACATAATATAGTTAGCACCAACATAGTATAGTTAATTAGGTTAGCTGTGCTCTAGGAAACAATGCATAGAGGTAGAAAAGAACACGGGCTATGGAGTATGATATATGGTGGTTTGTAGTTTGTTGACTTACCACAACAAGAGAGAGATGGTAATCTCTCTAGGCCATCCTGGCTTCCTCATCTTTAAAACAAGGAAGCTGATAAAATCATATTTCTGATAGAGTTGTCAGACTCAGCTACAAAAACACATGTAAAGCACACAACCTAATTATTAGGCACATATTATATACTTGGTAAATAGTAGTTAATTTTGAGATCAGAGAGGAGAGCTCAGAAAGAGACTGGTATTTAGGACAGGTAACTTTTTATGAGGATGAAGAAAAAAAATTTTGAAATGAAGCTTGAAATGAATTGAGAAAAGAGAACAGATAGAGATTAGGTACCTGAATCTGGGAGATGGTCACAATGATTAGGGGGATGGCACCTGTCAGCTAGTACACTATAAGGCCAATAACTACAGGGAAGACTTAGGAAGTGCCACAGTAGAAGAAAAGTATTAATGCAGCAGGCCTTAAGCTTCTCTCTTTAGAAAAGCCTGCTTGCAGGGCACCTGTGTGGCTCAGTGGTTGAGCATCTGCCTTTGGCCCAGGTTGCGATCTCAGGGTCCTGGAATTGAGTCCTATGTCGCGCTCTCTGCATGGAACCTGCTTTTCCCTGTGCCTATGTCTCTGGCTCTCTCTGTGTTTTGTGAGTAAAGAAATAAAATATTTAGAAAGAAAAGAAAAAAAAGAAAAGCCTGCTTGCGAGGTTGTCTGGCATACTAGAATTTGGCTTTCAAAATGTTCCCTTCATTACTAATGGAGAAGGCTAGTCTACTGTGCCTTGACTGTTGGTGAACTTGGAGGGTCCTAGAAAGTAGACATACTGTGAATAAAGTTCTAAGCTTTCCTTCAACATACACACATAATTTTAAGGGATTATGGTCAGGTATATGATCTTGTAGTTTAAGATTTGGGGGGGGGGCAGGAAATTTTAGGTAATAAGAATCAAGGATGACCAATGGTATGGATGAATTTGGAAAGGAAGTAGAAGCTTTTTGGAGTTAAGAGGTCAAGGTCATCCTTATCATCATTAAATGATAATGGGAAATGGGGTTGAGGGAGGATTATGAACAAGATACCAAGATCCTCAGAGACGGTGAAAATGTGATCAGAAAGTAATAGATGATGGCGTCAGGAGGGTGGTGTAGGTGAATGACAGTCCTGAACTGCAGAGGGGAGGGATAAGGTTTGATTGAAGTTGAAATTAAAATAGCCTGACAGCAGCAGCAGAAATTTAGAAGTGTTTCTCTACTTCTTAGTCTTATGTGGAGCATAAGAGGATGAGCAGTCTCTACTCAAGATGGTTATGCAAGGAAACTGTATTTTAAAGGAAACCAAGTTGTAGTTAAAACAAAGAAGCAGAGCTGATACAGGTTTTTAGGTGCTAGCAAAGCTCAAATTGCCATTTGCAGTTGCCTCCCTATGATGTTAGGAGGATAGAAAGCAAGGCAGGATCAAAGGTACTAAAAAGCTGTGATTTCTATAGCTTTTATAGCTATATTTATATAGCTAATTCCTGATGGTTTTAGTAATAATAATAGTAGTAGTAACTTTATTGCTATTAATATGACATTTATTAAGTGCTTGCCATATATCTAATATTGTTTTAAATGCTTTTCATACATCATCACATTTAATCTCCACATCAACCTTGTGAGGGTAGATAGTATTATCTCATTTTAGATATATGACTTCTGAATTTTATAAAGGAGGTAAGTAATAATTTGCTCAAGGTCACACAGTTCCAGGTGACAAATCCTGGAGCCAGTTTATGAATGCAAGTCTGTCTGACTTAACACTGCCTCCTTTGTAAGAGCTGGTAATAAAGCAAAATTCCAGATGCCAGGGTACAACTGGATCTTGGTAGAATTGAAAAAAAAAAGATTAAGGAGTCCTTGTGATATTCATGTTTCATATTTTACATTTCTCATGATTCTGAAATTTATTTCACTTTGATACAGATAATTTTGTTTGCTGCCATTAGAGCTTCATGGTCAAATAGCTACTTTGTGTAATTGCAGTGAAAAATTCAGTATATGGATCATTTTGGTTGTGCCAATTTTACACTGGCCACCAAAGAAACATGACAGACTAAGGGTATTATGTTGCTGGACTAGAATTCCCTGAGAGCTGGGTTCTTCCCTGGTATTTCTTATTCTTCAATTCAGGATGCGATAAGAACTCTCAGACTGCCACTGACAAAAGTCTTTAGTGATAGCTACTGTTGTTTTTTAAATCAGAGGTTAGTTCAATTACCAAATAACTTTTTTCTATTTCTAGAGTTACAGGACATTACCTTAGCTCTTGATTTGCTTGAAGGTGACATGATACCTAGGAAGAACTTAGAGAGCTTTCTAGGAAATAGTGGGATTAAGTCACCTGAAAAGGAGGTAGAGAAAATTCTTCAATCAAATTTTGTTTCTGGTAAGCATTTAAATATTACTATCAGTTTTTTTGTTGTGGGTAGGAGTACCTATAAAGAAAGTGTGCAAGGTCTTTGTTCAAATAAATGTGCTTTCTACTTTGAGCAAATATCTACAGATATTTGCTTGTATTACTGTAAACATCTTGAAAAGGAGCCTTTCCTCCTTTTTATCCTCTTTTGCAGTTATGAGAATGCTTTTAATAAGAAGGTTGAAATTTTGCGGGGAGTGGGTTTGTGGGTACACTTCCTGAGATATGTCTTGATTTAGTGACTAATGAATAATTTGGAAATTCCAGTTCTGTGAATAGTAAACCGAGCTTTGCCACTTTGTGCCAAGTGGTTATTGGACTTATAATCTTCTTGATATTTTAGCTCCCTTACAGATAGAATCAGAACTAGTATATCGAGGGGCAAGATGGCGGAAGAGTAGGGTCCCCAAATCACCTGTCCCCACCAAATTACCTAGATAACCTTCAAATCATCCTGAAAATCTACGAATTCGGCCTGAGATTTAAAGAGAGACCAGCTGGAATGCTACAGTGAGAAGAGTTCGTGCTTCTATCAAGTACAACTTGTTTTTGGCCACTCTGCACTGAGCAAAATGACTAGAAGGAAAACCTCACCTCCAAAGAAAGAATCAGAAACAGTCCTCTCTCCCACAGAGTTACAAAATCTGGATTACAATTCAATGTCAGAAAGCCAATTCAGAAGCACTATTATACAGCTACTGGTGGCTCTAGAAAAAAGCATTAAGGACTCACGAGACTTCATGACTGCAGAATTTAGATCCAATCAGGCAGAAATTAAAAATCAATTGAATGAGATGCAATCCAAACTAGAAGTCCTAACGACGAGGGTTAACGAGGTGGAAGAACAAGTGAGTGACATAGAACACAAGTTAATGGAAAAGAGGGAAACTGAGGAAAAAAGAGACAGACAATTAAAAGACCATGAAGACAGATTAAGGGAAATAAACGACAGCTGAGGAAGAAAAACCTACATTTAATTGGGGTTCCCGAGGGCGCCGAAAGGGCCAGAGGGCCAGAATATCTATTTGAACAAATCCTAGCTGAAAACTTTCCCAATCTGGGAAGGGAAACAGGCATTCAGATCCAGGAAATAGAGAGATCCCCCCCTAAAATCAATAAAAACCGTTCAACACCTCAACATTTAATAGTGAAGCTTGCAAATTCCAAAGATAAAGAGAAGATCCTTAAAGCAGCAAGAGACAAGAAGTCCCTGACTTTCATGGGGAGGAATATTAGGGTAACAGCAGACCTCTCCACAGAGACCTGGCAGGCCAGAAAGGGCTGGCAGGATATATTCAGGGTCCTAAATGAGAAGAACATGCAACCAAGAATACTTTATCCAGCAAGGCTCTCATTCAAAATGGAAGGAGAGATAAAGAGCTTCCAAGACAGGCAGGAACTGAAAGAATATGTGACCTCCAAACCAGCTCTGCAAGAAATTTTAAGGGGGACTCTTAAAATTCCCCTTTAAGAAGAAGTTCAGTGGAACAATCCACAAAAACAAGGACTAAATAGATATCATGATGACACTAAACTCATATTTGTCAATAGTAACTCTGAATGTGAACGGGCTTAATGGCCCCATCAAAAGGCGCAGGGTGTCAGACTGGATAAAAAAGCAGGACCCATCTATTTGCTGTCTACAAGAGACTCATTTTAGACAGAAGGACACCTACAACCTGAAAATAAAAGGTTGGAGAACCATTTACCATTCAAATGGTTCTCAAAAGAAAGCAGGGGTAGCCATCCTTATATCAGATAAACTAAAATTTACCCCAAAGACTGTAGTGAGAGATGAAGAGGGACACTATATCATACTTAAAGGATCTATCCAACAAGAGGACTTAACAATCCTCAATATATATGCCCCGAATGTGGGAGCTGCCAAATACTTAAACGAATTATTAACCAAAGTGAAGAAATACTTAGATAATAATACACTTATACTTGGTGACTTCAATCTAGCTCTTTCTACCCTCGATAGGTCTTCTAAGCACAACATTTCCAAAGAAACGAGAGCTTTAAATGATACACTGGACCAGATAGATTTCACAGATATCTACCGAACTTTACATCCACACTCAACTGAATACACATTCTTCTCAAGTGCACATGGAACTTTCTCCAGAATAGACCACATACTGGGTCACAAATCGGGTCTGAACCGATACCAAAAGATTGGGATCGTCCCCTGCATATTCTCAGACCATGACGCCTTGAAATTAGAACTAAATCACAACAAGAAGTTTGGAACGACATCAAACACGTGGAGGTTAAGGACCATCCTGCTAAAAGATAAAAGGGTCAACCAGGAAATTAAGGAAGAATTAAAAAGATTCATGGAAACTAATGAGAATGAAGATACAACTGTTCAAAATCTTCGGGATGCAGCAAAAGCAGTTCTGAGGGGGAAATACATCGCAATACAAGCATCCATTCAAAAACTGGAAAGAACTCAAATACAAAAGCTAACCTTACACATAAAGGAGCTAGAGAAAAAACAGCAAATAGACCCGACGCCCAGCAGAAGAAGAGAGTTAATTAAAATTCGAGCAGAACTCAACGAAATTGAGATCAGAAGAACTGTGGAACAGATCAATAGAACCAGGAGTTGGTTCTTCAAAAGAATTAATTAGATAAACCATTAGCCAACCTTATTAAAAAGAGAGAGAAGACTCAAATTAATAAAATCATGAATGAGAAAGGAGAGATCACTACCAACACCAAGGAAATACAAACGATTTTAAAAACATATTATGAGTAAATTAGGCAATCTAGAAGAAATGGACGCATTCCTGGAAAGCCACAAACTACCAAAACTGGAACAGGAAGAAATAGAAAACCTGAACAGGCCAATAACCAGGGAGGAAATTGAAGCAGTCATCAAAAACCTCCCAAGACAATAGAGTCCAGGGCCAGATGGCTTCCCAGGGGAATTCTATCAAACGTTTAAAGAAGAAACCATAGCTATTCTACTAAAGCTGTTTGGAAAGATAGAAAGAGATGGAGTACTTCCAAATTCATTCTGTGAGACCAGCATCACCTTAATTCCAAAACCAGACAAAGACCCCACCAAAAAGGAGAATTACAGACCAATATCCCTGATGAACATGGATGCAAAAATTCTCAACAAGATACTAGCCAATAGGATCCAACAACACATTAAGAAAATTATTCACTATGACCAAGTAGGATTTATCCCCGGGACACAAGGCTGGTTCAACACTCGTAAAACACTCAATGTGATTCATCATATCAGCAAGAAAAAAACCAAGAACGCTATGATCCTCTCATTAGATGCAGAGAAAGCATTTGACAAAATACAGCATCCATTCCTGATCAAAACTCTTCAGAGTGTAGGGATAGAGGGAACTTTCCTCGACATCTTAAAAGCCATCTACAAAAAGCCGACAGCAAATATCATTCTCAATGGGGAAGCACTGGGAGCCTTTCCCCTAAGATCAGGAACAAGACAGGGATGTCCATTCTCACCACTGCTATTCAACATAGTATTGGAAGTCCTAGCCTCAGCAATCAGACAACAAAAATACATTAAAGGCATTCGAATTGGCAAAGAAGAAGTCAAACTCTCCCTCTTTGCCGATGACATGATACTGTACATAGAAAACCCAAAAGCCTCCACCCCAAGATTGCTAGAACTCATACAGCAATTTTTGGTAGCGTGGCAGGATACAAAATCAATGCCCAGAAATCAATGGCATTTCTATACACTAACAATGAAACTGAAGAAAGAGAAATTAAGGAGTCAATCCCATTTACAATTGCACCCAAAAGCATAAGATACCTAGGAATAAACCTAACCAAAGAGGTAAAGGATCTATACCCTAAAAACTATAGAACACTTGTGAAAGAAATTGAGGAAGACACAAAGAGATGGGAAAATATTCCATGCTCATGGATTGGCAGAATTAATATTGTGAAAATGTCAATGTTACCCAGGGCAATTTACACGTTTAATGCAATCCCTATCAAAATACCATGGACTTTCTTCAGAGAGTTAGAACAAATTATTTTAAGGTTTGTGTGGAATCAGAAAAGACCCTGAATAGCCAGGGGAATTTTAAAAAAGAAAACCATATCTGGGGGCATCACAATGCCAGATTTCAGGTTGTACTACAAAGCTGTGGTCATCAAGACAGTGTGGTACTGGCACAAAAACCGACTCATAGATCAATGGAACAGAATAGAGAACCCAGAAGTGGACCCTGAACTTTATGGTCAACTAATATTCGATAAATGAGGAAAGACTATCCATTGGAAGAAAGACAGTCTCTTCAATAAATGGTGCTGGGAAAATTGGACATCCACATGCAGAAGAATGAAACTAGACCACTCTCTTGCACCATACACAAAGATAAACTCAAAATGGATGAAAGATCTAAATGTGAGACAAGATTCCATCAAAATCCTAGAGGAGAACACAGGCAACACCCTTTTTGAACTTGGCCACAGTAACTTCTTGCAAGATACATCCACGAAAGCAAAAGAAACAAAAGCAAAAATGAACTATTGGGGCTTCATCAAGATAAGAAGCTTTTGCACAGCAAAGGATACAGTCCACAAAACTAAAAGACAACCTCCAGAATGGGAGAAGATATTTGCAAATGACGTATCAGATAAAGGGCTAGTTTCCAAAATCTATAAAGAACTTATTAAACTCGGGATCCCTGGGTGGCGCAGCGGTTTGGCGCCTGCCTTTGGCCCAGGGCGCGATCCTGGAGACCCGGGATCGAATCCCACATCGGGCTCCCGGTGCATGGAGCCTGCTTCTCCCTCTGCCTGTGTCTCTGCCTCTCTCTCTCTCTCTGTGTGTGACTATCATAAATAAATAAAAATTAAAAAAAAAGAACTTTAAAAAAAAAAAGAACTTATTAAACTCAACAGCAAAGAAACAAACAATCCAATCATGAAATGGGCAAAAGACATGAAGAGAAATCTCACAGAGGAAGACATAGACATGGCCAACAAGCACATGAGAAAATGCTCTGCATCACTTGCCATCAGGGAAATACAAATCAAAACCACAATGAGATACCACCTCACACCAGTGAGAATGGGGAAAATTAACAAGGCAGGAAACAACAAATGTTGGAGAGGATGCGGAGAAAAGGGAACCCTCTTACACTGTTGGTGGGAATGTGAACTGGTGCAGCCACTCTGGAAAACTGTGTGTGGAGGTTCCTCAGAAAGTTAAAAATAGACCTGCCCTACGACCCAGCAATTGCACTGTTAGGGATTTACCCCAAAGATTCAGATGCAATGAAATGCCGGGACACCTGCACCCCGATGTTTCTAGCAGCAATGTCCACAGTAGCCAAACTGTGGAAGGAGCCTCGGTGTCCATCGAAAGATGAATGGATAAAGAAGATGTGGTTTATGTATACAATGGAATATTACTCATCCATTAGAAACGACAAATACCCATCATTTGCTTCAACGTGGATGGAACTGGAGGGTATTATGCTGAGTGAAGTAAGTCAATCGGAGAAGGACAAACAGTGTATGTTCTCATTCATTTGGGGAATATGAATAATAGTGAAAGAGAATAAGAGAAGGGAGAAGAAATGTGTGGGAAATATCAGAAAGGGAGACAGAACATAAAGACTCCTAACTCTGGGAAATGAACTAGGGGTGGTAGAAGGGGAGGAGGGCGGGGGGTGGGGGTGAATGGGTGACGGGCACTGTGGGGGACACTTGACGGGATGAGCACTGGGTGTTATTCTGTATGTTGGTAAATTGAACACCAATAAAAATTAATTTATTAAAAAAAAAAAGCAAATACTGTCGGGTAACTGTGTGGCTCAGTGGTTGAGCATCTGCCTTTGGCTCAGGTCCCGATCCTGGTGTCCTGGGATTGAGTCCCACATCAGGCTCTCCATGGGGAGCCTGCTTCTCCCTCTACCTCTATGTTTCTCATGAATATATAAATTAAAAAAATTTAAAAACAAAAAAAAAGAACTAGTATATCTACAATCTTGTAAGGTGAATTGCAAGGCATAATGGGTGAAAATGAATCCAAAGTATCTTGCACATAAAGTATTTAAGAAATTATATTCTGGGGATGCCCGGGTGGTGCAGCGGTTGAGTGTCTGCCTTTGCCTCAGGGCATGATCCCAGAGTCCCGGGATCGAGTTCCACATCAGGCTTCCTGCATGGTGCCTGCTTCTGCCTCTGCCTCTCTCTCTCTATCTCTCTCATTAATAAATAAATAACATCTTAAAAAAAATAAATTGTATTCTGATTTTTATTTTCATACTAGCTTTGTAATATGACCTTGTCCATGGATTCTTGTCTATCACTTTTCTCTTTCTTCCAGATGACAACATGGTAAATGTTAAAGACTGTATGAAGGCTTTGAGAACACCCAGGAATTTTCCAACTTTATTGGTAAGAGTTTTATGGTAAAACTTTTGAACTGCCACAGCACATTCAGATCTCATTCGGAGGTCACCTAGTCAAACACTTGGTACTTAAATCTTTGTAATAATTGTGTCAAATGTTTGTTTCATCTATATTTGAACATTTTGACTTGTTGGTTCAGTGTTCAGCACCAAGTTTGCTTTAGATTCTTTTCCTCTCCCTGGCCTTCTCTGGGCCTCTACAGAGTGCACATGTGTACTCTCCAAATAAATAAATAAAATATTTTTTAAAATGTTTACTTCAATGGAAAAAATTGGGAAAATCACAAAATTGTAATGTTTTCCAAAAGCTAAATAAGAAAACTTTATTTTGTAATAATGGCAATTTTTAAACTTTTATAAAAAAAAAATTAGTGACCATGGACACCTGGGTAGCTCAGCGGTTGAGCTTCTGCCTTTGGCTCAGGGCATGGGGATTGAGTCCCACATCGGGCTCCCTGCAAGGAGCCTACTTTTCTCTCTGCCTGTGTCTCTGTCTCTGTCTCTGTCTCTCTCTCTCTCTCTCTCATGAATGAATAAATAAATCTTTTAAAAAAATTTAGTGACCAGATATGTAAGAAATATAAAGCGTAAGGCTCTTATAATGTTACCCTCTGGAAATACCCCTCTTAAAGTTTGGTAAGTAACTTTATAGGCTTTTTAATTTGTATTTATGAATATTTGTATATTCTGAAATTATTAAAAAGTAAACTACTATGTCCATAATATTCACAACTGCTTTTTTAAAAATTTTTATTTATTTACGATAGTCACAGAGAGAGAGAGAGAGAGAGAGAGAGAGAGAGGCAGAGACACAGGCAGAGGGAGAAGCAGGCCCCATGCACCGGGAGCCCGATGTGGGATTCGATCCCGGGTCTCCAGGATCGCGCCCTGGGCCAAAGGCAGGCGCCAAACCGCTGCGCCACCTAGGGATCCCCACAACTTGCTTTTTTTTGAAGAAATAAACAGTGTATCTTAGATACTGTTCCATGTCCCATTATGTCATATAAACTACCTCATTCTTTTTAAAGACTGCATAATATTCCATTGTGGGGGTGTACTATAATTTTATCCACAACAGTTTTGATAATATTTAGGTTATTGTCAATTTTTCATCATTCAAACATTTTGATGAGCATCCTTGTATGTATATATGTGCACAAAATTTTCCTGGAGAATAAATTCCTCAGAAGTCACAGTGCTAGACCAAAATATATGCAGATATAAGATGTTAACAACTACTGCTTAATTATCCTCTGAAAGGGTTGCAAAAACTTTTATCAATAATGGATATTAATTCTTAAAAATTCTTCTGTAAAAAATTATTTTAATATGTACTTTTTCTATGCTTACTAATATAATATTTTAATCATCTCTTTTTAAAGCACTACCTCTTAGATTTATATTTAGTGTTTCTATTTATAATTTAAGAATTAAGTATTTTCAGGCGTATTTTGATTTTCTCCTAATGTAAGAATTGTTTAAGAGAAAACTTTAAATTTTAAAGCAGTTTTTTAGGCACCTAGGTGGCTCAGTGGTTGAGCATCTGCCTTTGGCTCAGGTCATGATGCTGGGGTCTTGGGATTGAGTCCTGCATCAGGCTCCCCTCAGGAAGCCTACTTCTCCATCTACCTATGTTTCTGCCTTTCTCTGTGTCTCTCATGAATCAATAAACAAATCTTTAAAAATAAATAAATACATAAAAATTATTTATTTTTAAAGATTTTATTTATTGATTCATGAGAGACACAGAGAGAGAGAGAGGGGGGCACAGACACAGGCAGAGGGAGAAACAGGCTCCATGCAGGGAGCCTGACATGGGACTCGATCCCGGGTCTCCAGGATCACGCCCTGGACTGAAGGTGGTGCTAAACCGCTGAGCCACTGGGGCTGCCCTAAAAATTTTTTTAAATCAATTTTAATTTCATTATTGCCCTATCTTTATTGTTTATTTTTAGTTTTATTTTATTGTGACCAGAGAATGAGGTCTGTAGTAGAGGATTTGATAGTTTCCATGCTCATTAGATATGGAATTTCTTCATTATTATATGTTTATTTAAAAGCCACATTAGTGGCTTTCAGGGACAGGCTAATGGTAGTACACACTTATCCTGGTATTTATCATGGAAATCCTTGTGACTTTTTGAAGCAGCCCATTTTATAATTTTGGACAGTTGTAGAACTAGTCAGTTATTCCAATTATTTGGTGGAAGTCCTGCATTATAATTCAATTCTTAAACCATACTTAACATTTGGACTCTTCCTCCTGTCAGTAGCCTTCCAGGGATATGAGGAGAACTCTTAGATTTTCTCTTTCACATTGAATCATCTTTTCTCTAGATTCACATTTCCTTTCAGCCCTTCCTCACATAGCCTGTTTTTGAAATTCCTTACCGATAACTAATGACTAAATCATGGAACACCATAATGTATTAAAATATACTTTTACATAAATTAGCTAATTTTAAAGTAATTTATTATACATTTCTCTGTCATCTGACAGATGATTTTTTAGATATGTACTTTAGAAATGTAAATGATTTTTTAAAAAGATTTCATTTATTCATTCATTTATTTACTTGAGAGAGGGTACCAGTGAGAGGAGGAGCAGAGGGAGAGGAAGAGAGAATCCCAAGCAGACTCCATGCTGAGTGTAGAACCCAATGTATGTGGGGCTCAGTCCCAAGATCCTGAGATCATGACCTGAGCCAAAATCAAGAGTCAGATGCCCAACTGACTGAGTCATCCATGTGCCCCTGAAGTTTTTTTTTTTTTTAATTAAGGGAGATCAGTCATGGATTTCCTAGTCTAGATGTTTGATGTTATTGTGCTAAACATAATAGGCTTTGCTGATTCTCTAAATTGGGTGAAGTGAGCTGACAAAAGCAAGGGATATAGGGAAAGAAAGTGGAAAGGGAAGGATAGGGATTTGAGAACAGTTGTGAAGAATGGAGGATTTTTTTTTTTTTTACTGAAATGGTGAACTCATCAATAGATAACTAGAGAAACTTTAGCATACTTTTTTGTTCATACAGGAATAGCCCACCCAGAACCCAGAATTTTAACAAAATAGTTTTAAGAATAAAGATAAGGGGCTATAGAAAACTATAGTGGAGAATGGATTGCTCTATTTATTTCAATAGCCACATATGGGTAGTGACTGCCATTTTGGATAGGCAAATGTAGAAGAGTCCATCAGTTTTATTGTTATGTTCTAAAGATTTAGATCCATGGGCTGAATTACATGTTGTATGTATATTCTCTGTATTTGTAGCATTGAATAACATCATGAATACATTGGATTCTATGGAAGAAAGTGATCAGTCTTATAAGGACAAATATGCAGATACACTTGGAAACACCAATAGAATTTATTTCACTGATGAAATTCTTCAAGAAATACTGGATGATTCCTTTGTTGAGGGTGAATTGATTGAGCAGATAACCAGTGACTTGTAATAAGTATTTCTTCTAAAATTTTATCTAAGAGTTTAAAAATATTTTACTAAAATACTAATTAAATCTTAACACATAGTTTCTAACTAAATAATATTTAATTAATATTCAGTTCCTAAATAATACTATAAATGTATTGAAATGTGATTTACTACAGATCAAATTTAGGAATATACTTTATATTCTATATCCAAAGTTATTGCATTTAGTTATTATAGGATCAGATTCCTGGATGATCTCCTGGACTGTATTGTAAAGTTGGTCTCCAAGTATTTATATATGTTGTTGTATGGCTTTGAAATGTTTCTTTCTATAGTAGTTTCATTTCAAAGTTAATCCCTTTCATTTTATGAATTTTAGAGAGGTCTTAATAGTTTTCTAGCTTTCTTTTTTTTTTAGGCAAAAGACCCTTTGAAAAGTACAAGTTACTAACTCTATTTATTTTTAAATAAATAAACAATAGAAACAATGAAATGAAACAAAAAAAAAAAACAATGAACAATAAAAACATTGTCGGGATCCCTGGCTGGCGCAGCGATTTGGCGCCTGCCTTTGGCCCAGGGTGCGATCCTGGAGACCTGGGATCGAGTCCCACATCGGGCTTCCGGTGCATGGAGCCTGCTTCTCCCTCTGCCTATGTCTCTGCCTCTCTCTCTCTCTCTGTGACTATCATAAATAAATAAATAAATAAATAAATAAATAAATAAATAAATAAATAAATAAATAAATAAATAAAAAAACAAACAAAAATATTGTCTATATAACACTCTATATAAGTGTTGAGCTGTTATTTGCAAAGGAATTATCTGACCCATCTAGATTCTCAGTTGGGATATACCCAGATGGATTTTATCTATATTTGGAAAGCCATTTCCTGTCTTTAAATTTAGCTTCAGCTAGAAAATAAGATCAGATTTACCTCTCAGGGAAAAATTGTCAATGTGCGAAAACAGTTTAGATTGTCAAAACTGATGGGTGAGGACTGCTGGTGTCTAGTGAGTAGAAGCAAGGGATGCTGCTAACCATCCTATAGTGTATAGGACAGTTCTCCCCCACATAATTATCTGGATCCAAATGTAATTTTTCTGAGGTTGAGAAATCCTGTTTTAGAGTTATCTTATAAAATTGCCAAACCTACTATTTTGAAAGTACTTTTTTAATAGGTTAGTTTTTTTATCTTGCTTAGAACAAGTAGAAAAAATTAAGATAAATATAATGCATCTTTATTCTAACCTTTTGTTTCAAGGTAATACCTGGACTCGTTGTGAGTTATTCTAAACTGCTCTCTAACTGTAATATGGTCCATCTATGCAAATGGACATATTTTATTTCTATCACTTGTTCCTTAAATAGATCTCTCTAGCAATTTGCATTTTTTGTAGAAAGTGTATAGAATGAAGGGTATAACTGCAACTTGTCCTTATGAAAAGCTTCAGAATTAGGTAGATAGGTAGGCAAGCAGAACTATGGAAGGATGATTCAAACTAATAATTAAACATTTTGTTGAATATATGGGCCTGGGGATTAACCTGCCCTCTTAGGAAGAAAGGAAACATTTGTGACATTAAACTCTCAGCCACGTTTAAGGAGCTTTGGAGGTTGACAAATCCATGGAATTTAAGAAATAAGAGGAAGAGTAGAGAATAATATTTGGAAAGCCAGTGGAAGATTTTGAGAAGGGAATGGTCAATGATAAATGTTACTGAGAAATGAAGTATTTAATCTATCAGTTGGCTTTTTTTTGAAACTGGATGAAATCAGTATGCTATTCCTTATGGCATAATTTCTTTCTCTAAATTTGGAGATTTTAGGAAAGAGACTTTGTCTTCAAATCTGAAACTACCAAAAGCAGATGGTAAGAACTTTATATGTGTATATAAGAAAGCATTCTCTATAAAAGAGTTATTTTTTAGGATCATTGCCAGGTGCCAATGGGTTCCTAGTCCATTTTTCCTACTTTAGCCAAAGTGATATTGTTTTTTTAAAAAAAGTAATCTGATCATGTTATGTCACATTATTTATAACTCTAAACATTTCCATTGCTGTTAGATAAAGACCAAAATCCTACATGTCCTAGTTCTCTAGCATAATTTTCTATCATTACCCTTGCTTTCTGTACTTTCAGATATATTGGCTTTTTCATTTCCTTAGATAATCTCTTTTTCTCTTGCCACAAAGCTTTTGCATATTTTATTCCCTGACCCTCTTTGCCTGGTTAATGTTTACTCATCTTTCAGGTATGCATCAGTTTCCTCTAGGGAGCCCACCTGCTAGTCTAGGTCAGCTTCCTTTGTTATATGCTTTCATTAAACCATGTCTCATTCATAGCATTTATTTCATATTATAAATACTCATTTTTTAAACAATACTAGAAATGCTCAGTATATTTTATCTTGTAAAAACAAAAATGGGGCACCTGGCTGGCTCAGTCGGTAGAGCCTGTGACTCTTGATCTTGGGGTCAGGAATTTAAGTCTCACGTTGGGTATAGAGCTTACTTAGAAAAAAATAAAGTAACACAAATATTAGCTTAAATCATCTTAATTCATTAAGACCAAAATAAAATGATTTCATTAAAAATTTTTTATTTGAGTATGGGAGGCATACAATGTTTTATTCGTTTCAGGTGTACAGCAGAGTGATTCAACTTCTCTATACATTATGTTATGCTCACCACATTAGTTACACCAAATGTAACTACCATCTGTCACCATACAATGTTATTACAATAGCACGAACTATATTCCCTACATTGTGCCATGACATATTCATTGCATAACTGGAAGTCTGTATCACCCACTCCCCTTCGCCCATTTTGCCCATCCTCCTACTGTCCTTCTCTCTGGCCAAAATTAGTTTGTTCTGTATTTATAAATCTGATTCTGCTTTTTGTTTGTTTTGCTTTTTAGATTTGACTTACAAGTACAATCATATTTGTTTTTCTCAGTCTGACCTATTTCACTTAGCATAATACCCTTTAGGTCCACCCATGTTGGCAAAATGGCAAAAATCTCAGCCTTTTTCACAGCAGTGTCATATTTCATAATATATCACATCTTTTTTCATTCACCTAGTGATGGATGCTTGAGATACTTCCATATTTTGGCTTTTGTAAATAATACTGCAATACACATAGGAGTGCATGTATCTTTTTGAATTAGTGTTTTTGTTGTCTTTGTGTAAATACCCAGTAGTGGAATTAAATGGGTCATATGGTATTTCTATTTTTAATTTTTTGAGGAAACTCCATATTGTTTCCCACAGTGGCTGTACCAAATTACATTCCACCAACAGTGCCCAGAGGTTCCTTTTTCTACACATCCTCGCCAACATTCATTATTTCTTATGTTTTTTATTTTAGCCATTCTGACAGGCGTAGGGTGATATTTTATTGTGATTTTGGTTTGCATTTCCCTGAGATTAATGATGTTGAATATCTTTTCATGTGTCTGTTGGCCATCTGTAATGTCTTCTTCAGAAAGATGTCTATTTAGGTCCTCTGCCCATGTTAAAATCTGTTTATTTTCCAGTCATATTTTTGATTTTTTGATTAATAATTCTTCTCTTACATGCCTGGAAGGGTCATTGGGCCAAGGACCATGTCTTCACTTTGCTCCAGATCCTAGCATAATCCTGGCTTTTAGCAGGCTCTTAGTAGTAGCTAATATTATAGTATTATATAATATTTACTTTATTTATTTATTTATTTATTTATTTATTTATTTATTTATTGTTCCAAATCTTTTATGTTATTAACTCATATAAATGTAAATATTTTGGAATGACAATAAATGTTTTATCTCATTAGTCTCATCTCTCATCACTTTTACACTTGTATTTATTCTGTAGCCATACTACTTGTTAGAATTTATTTATTTTTTAGATTTTATTAATTTATGACAGCAAGCGAGAGGATCCTGGGATCATGACCTGAGCTGAAGGCAGATGCTTAACCAACTGAGCCACCCAGGTGTCCTAACTTATTATAATTTAAATTGGCTTTATTTGCTTTTGGTTCCATATCTTTGCATGTGCTGTTTCCTTTCGATACATTTCCTATCTGACAAACTCACATTTTCCCCCCTAAACTCAGCTCAAATGTCACTTCTCATCCCATAAGATTTTTCAGAGTTGTAGGTTAGATGAACTGTCTCAGTGCTTTCATACTAACTTGTGTGTGTTTTTCTCATAGTACCAACTATATAATGTATTATAATTTTTTTTTGCAGACATGACAGATTCAGTCTCTGTTTTCAGGGTTTTATAGAAAAACTTTTTTATAGGAAACTCTGATGAGAGTGCTAAAATTTTCATTGTTGGTCTTAGTAGCTATAAAATAAATATTAATAGAATGAATAAAAGTCTAAAATGGTATTATGGTGTTCTTTCCAAGTGAAGTTTGAGATCTGTTGGTATAATGCAACAATTTTTCAGACTGTGGAAACACATGACTTCATTTTGAGGTTGAGAGGGAAACAGAATGGGAAATGATATTGATGAAAAATTAAAACACCCAATAATGATCACATTTTATATTTTAAACTGGTGGGGTATCAACAGGACTACCCCATTTGGTTGTATAGGTTGTGCCTTGCACAAAGATGCCTGGTTGAGAGGGTACAAGTAGAGACTGAAATGCACTCCCTATTTCACTGTGCTCTTCAGGCTTGGACCACAGTGCTAGACTGCAGCTGCCCAGAGGCAGGTGTGCCTCTTTGTAATTGAAACATACAGAGGGGTGCCCTTTGACAATCACACAAAAGCTCAATATGGACTGGTAGTGGCCCTCAGGATCAAGAGCTCTCCTCTCAAATTTTAGCCATTTTTTGTTTATTAGTTGATAGAAATCTTTAGACCTACATGTAGAAGACTTAACTATTTTTTTTTAAATTTTTTTATTGGAGTTCAATTTGCCAACATTTAGCATAACACCCAGTGCTCATCCCGCCAAGTGCTTCCCTCAGTGCCCATCACCCAGTCACCCCAACTCCCCCACCCACCTCCCCTTCCACTACCCCTTGTTCATTTCCCAGAGTTAGGTGAAGACTTAACTATTATTTAAGAAAGGCTTACAGCTTATTCAGTATTTAATGGATTGATGGATTCAGATAACTCATCATACTCTCTTTGGCACATAATTTTTTGGTTTTAAATGCAGCTTGAAATAAGTGGGTTGTTATAAATAGAAAATATTTTCCTTTTTTTACAGAGATTTTAGTTAAATTATATATACTTAATTTGAGAATTCACCTATAATGGAGTTTGAACAAACGATTTTGAACTTTTAAAAACAATAGTATTTTATATATATATTTATTTTTGTAGAGATTAAAGAAGCTGCTCATATCTTGTCAAGTGTTGATAATGGCAAAATTTGTATACCTGACTTGGAGCATGCCCTGAAAAGTTTGAATGTTAATATAACTGAGGAGGCTATCAGTGAAGCCCTTAAATTTTGTGATATCAGTGGTGAGCAGTTTTTTTGGCTTGAGATTCTTTCCATTTTTCCCTGTTGATGAGAAACAGTCTTAAAGCATATATGTGTGGATAAAATAGTAGTCACACTGGACTTAGGCTGATACAAATTAGAGCCAGAATAGTCTGTTAATTTAAATATTTATTGATCATATCTATCTGGTCATACTCATCTGGATATATATATATGCTTATTTAGATAACTACTATTCATTTCTTATAAGCATGGGTGGAAAATACTATTATGTAATAAAACAAAGACATGACACCAGTAGCTTAATTTTGACATGCAGTCTTTCTTCAGAGGAGATCCACCTTCAACTGTCCTTTTATAGTACTTGTCCTGTTCTGTTTTTTAACCAAAGAATATACCCAAAGCGTCTCTACATTTCAAAACAATTATTTAGTTTTGGTTGTTTCCAGGTGGGCATATATTTACCTTTGTTTTACATTTTTAAGTTCATGTAATATGTACTTGATCTCTTCCTTTATATAGCCATGCTTAGGCATCAAATCAGGTGGGAATACTTCTAGAAGCTGATGAGTTTCACTGGTTTTAGGGCTTTTTATTTGGGGCTTATCTTAACCATCTAGTTGTTTTTTCCATGGGAATCCCATGAGTTTTAGGATTAAGAGTACCTCCCCATCACATTTTGGTTATTTATTGCATTTGCCAGGAAACAGATTATTATTGACCTCAGTCAATTTTTATGTTTTGATCTGGGGTTTCTCATATCATGGTATATTCTTTAGTGGTTTAGAGTAGTGTAAATTTAGACTCCCAACCCACAGGAGATGCTGGAGATTTTTTACAGGAGATTTTCTTTTCCTCACTGCCTCTTATGAATATTTAGGTCTCCTTGTTGTTTATCTGGGCCAGTGAATACAATATTTTAATCTCCCTTTCACAGGATTGAACTTCTTTAAACATCCCAGTTGTATTTGGTATCTAAATTCAAACTCTTGGTATGCCTAGGTGGCTCAGCGGTTTAGCACCTGCCTTCGGCCCAGGGCGTGATCCTGGAGTACTGGGATTGAGTCCCACATCAGGCTCCCTGCATGGAGCCTGTTTCTCCTCTGCCTGCATCTCTGCCTCTCTGTATGTGTCTCTCATGAATAAATAAATAAAATCTTTAAAAAAATAAATTCAAACTCTTCATGTATTATGGACCCAAGTTTTCTTTTGTGAATATGCATGAGCGTTTAGGTAAAGCACCTTGCCACTATGGGATCTGATACATATCCCTAAATAGTTGTAGGCTTAGTACTCGCTATTTCCTACTCTGGATCTCTGTGCTCACCTAACTTATCATTTCCTTTTCATATAACTTAGTCATGTATTTGTAGAATATTGTAGTTCATACAGCATCTCTAGGGACTTGCAGTGTGATAGTTTCTGTGCTACCCAACTTTCCATTGTGTTGTAAGTTAAAGTCTTCTTTTTTTTTAAGATTTTTTATTTATTTATTCATAGAGACACAGAGAGAATGAGAGGCAGAGACACAGGCAGAGGTAGAAGCAGGCTCCATGCAGAGAGCCCAACGTGGGACTCGATCCAGGATCTCCAGGATCATGCCCTGGGCTGCAGGCGGCACTAAACCGCTGCGCCACCGGGGCTGCCCTAAGAAGTTAAAGTCTTCTTAATGTAGTTGATAGTCCTATATTTTCTGCTGTGGTTACACTATCGCATCAGTTCAAATACTATAGCTTTCAATACTTTCGGCTTTTGTGACCTGGACAAGTTATTTAATTTCTCTTTGCTTTCATCTTTTAAAGATAGGCAGATCAAGCATACACATGTTATGGAATTATTTTTTTACGGATTTTATTTATTTATTCATGAGAGACACACACACAGAGAGAGAGGCAGAGACACAAGCAGGGGGAGAAGCAGGCTCCATGCAGGGAGCCCAACACGGGACTCAATTCCGGGTCTCCAGGATCAGGCCCTGGACTGAAGGCGGCGCTAAACCAATGAGCCACTGGGGCTGCCCTTGTATGGAATTATTGTGAAGATTTTGGTTAATAAATGTAAAGCATTATAAAAGGATACTTATATATAAGGAACTGAAAAGTTATGTAAGTTATTTTGAGTAAGAACTCAAAAAAAGTTAGCTATTAATATCATCAGCTGTTCAATGAATGGTTCTTAAAGTTTGAAAAATTATGTTGAAATAGTTTCAATCATTTGAGATAGAAAATAAGGTAGAATGGAATTTTAGATATCATAAATCAGTCTTTATTTTATGTACCAATTCGTGCCAAGCATATCAATCAGCATACTTGATTTTGACTTTTCAGATAATAAGGAGGTGAATTTGAAAGATTTCTTTACAAGAATTAAAGAAAGTCCACATTTCAAAGAGTCAACTCCATTGTGTTGTAAGTTAAAGTCTTCTTAATGTAGTTGATAGTCCTATATTTTCTGCTGTGGTTACACTATTGCATCTTACTTCGAGTGTGTGTATATGTCCTAATAGTTAACATTGTCATGTTTGTCCCCGAAGTTCCTCTCATCATCTTTGAAATTAGGGAGACCATTTCAATACAGGCATCTTTTCCTAACCCCCATGTCTACAGAGAACACCTACCAAAGAACTCTCCTCAGATGCAGACACCTCTGTTAATAATGTATTTCTAAATGCTTTTCACATTTTTTCTTTTTTGCATTTTAATCTCTCTAAAATTAGTACATCTTTGTAACTGGTAGCATTATTTATCAGATGTACATTTTATACTTGATCTTAGCCCAAAGGCTGAGATGCAATTCAGATGTACATTTGTATTGAGATGTAATTCACATACCATAAAAGCATCCCTTTAAAGTATACAGTTCAGTATTTTTAGGTGTGTGGATGATGATGTGCAACCATCACACTCTAGTTCTGGGACATTTTCATTGCCTCAAAAAGAAACCCTGTACCCTTTGGTAGTTATATCCACCTCTCCCCAGCCATTGACAACCACTAATCCACTTTCTGTTTGTGTTGATTTACCTATTATGAGTGTTTCATATAATTGGGATCATAGAATATGTGACTTTCATGGCAGATTTCTTTCATTTAGCATATTGTTTTCAAGATTCATCTGTATTAGAGCATAAATGAGTGTTTCATTCCTTTTTGTGGTGGGATAGTCTATTATATGGTTATACCACATTTTCTTTGGCCATTTATCAGTTCATAGATATTTGGGTTGTTTCCATTTTTTGGCTATTATGGATAATGCTATGCTGCTATGAACATTGGTGTATATTTTTTGAGTACAAGTTTTTGTATAGATGTATATTTTCATTTCTCTTCATCCCCATTCCTGGGGATGGAATTAATGGTCACATGATAACTTTATATTCAGCCTGAGGAACTGCTGGAGTGTTTTCAAAGCAGCTGCCTCATTTTACATTCTCACCAGCAATGTACATTTTTTACATCCTTGTCAACACTTGTTACTGTCTAAGGATAGTCTTGTCTAACAAGGATCTCACCAGGGTTTGGTTTTACATTTTCCTGATGGTTAATGATGTTGGACATCTTTTCATGTGTTTATTGGCCATTTGTATATCTTCTTTGAAGACATGTATCCTTTGCTTATTTTGAAATTGAGTTGTCAAGTTGTAGTTTATACATTCTGGATACTACAGCTTTATCAGACACATGATTTGCAAATCTTTTCTTCCATTTTGTGGGCCTTTTTTTCTTTCTTGGTGGCGGTGTCTTTGAAGTACAAAAGTCTTTAAATTGGGTGGAATTAAATTAATATTTTATTTTGTTACTTCTTTTGAAGTCACGCCTAAAGATAATCCAAGATCATAAAAATTTATATTAATGTTTTCTTCTAAGAGTTTTATAGTTTAAGCCTTTTAATTTCAATCTTTGACTCATTTTGAGTTAATATTTGTATATGGTGTGAGATGGGAATCCATTGTAATTCTTTGGATGCAGATATCCAGTTATCCCAGCATCATTTGTTAACAAGATTATTCTTTCCCCATTAAATGGTTTTGGCATCCTTGTCAAAAATCAATTGATCATAAGGGTATGGATTTATTTCTAGACTCTCAATTCCATTCCATTGATTTTTATTTATTCTTATTCCAGTACCACATGGTTTTGATTACTATAGCTTTGTGGTAAAGTAATAACCTAAGCAGTAATCTTTAACCCGAGCAGGGCATCAGGATTACCTGTAAGCTTGATCCACCTGGTTCTACTTTGGGTATGATGGAGTAGCTTATCAAACCAACTCTCCTGCTGAGAATAACTAGTAAAATCTGGACTAAATTAAACAGCGTCAAGAACCACAACTGTTTGAAGGCATTGGAAAGGAACCAAAGCTGTCAGGATTTATGGGGCTATAAGTTAAATACAAAGAGCATGACTTGTAGCAGCAACAGCAGCTGCTGCTGCTTCTTATCTATTTTGTCTCTGTAACATAACTTTAAGTTAAATAATGCAAATTTTGATATAAATTTATTTGTAATGCTTCACAGTTATTTCAGGGGCCATATATGGAGTATTATGTAGCCAAAGGTATAAAGTTGATCACTTACAGATGTCAACTTAAAAGGCATATTAGTTAAGAGCATGGGCTTTGGAACTATAGTGCCTGGACTTGAATTCTGGCCCTGCCACTCACTACCGATATATTCTTTAGTAAATCACTTAATCTCACGAATCTCAATTTCTTCATCTCAAAAATAGGGATAATAATGCCTGTCTTGGAATTATTATAAGGCTTAAATAGATGAAGCAGAAGTATTTGAAACAGTCTCTAGCACTTAGTAGGTTTTCACTTAACTGCTGGCTATTATAATACACAATGGCTTTTAAAACTATACGAGTAGTTTCATGTAAAATTCTTTTATGCTGGGGTGCCTGGTGGCTTAGTTGGTTGGGCATCTGTGTTTGGCTTCAGTCATGATCCTGGGCTGCTCAAGGGGGATCCTGCTTCTTCCCCTCCCTTTGCGCCTCCCAGCTCGGGTTGTCTCTTATGAGCATGCACTCTCTCTCTCTCAAATAAAATCTTTAAAAAAATATTTTATGCAGTCTAAGCTTATTAAGTGAAAGTGAATAATCTTATTTCTGCTGTTGAAATATTTGTCTTTGCTCTTTTTTTTTTCAGCTACACAGCTACTCTTAGCTATCACCCAAATTCTCCAGAATGATCTAATTGATGTCTCTGACCTCAAGGCATTATTGATGAACAATGACTTTTGTGCAGCTAATGTTTTACTTAATGAAATATTAAGAAATGTACCTGAACGTGGTTAGTAGTTTAAATGCATTTATATTATAAAGGCCATCATCTATCTACCAGTGGGGGTGGGAGATGTATGGATGGGATACACAGCAAATGGAAGGCAGCCTGTGGCAGTGACAGGGGGATGACTGGGGAATACCAGTGCTGCTCTGGTGTGCCAAGCCTGAGCCATATGAAACCAAACAGAGGCATAAGTCAGGGCCTAGTTTATCCCTGTAGGTGGTGGTGCTTGGGAGATGAGGTTACTTTGCGAACTGACTGGCATGGACAGTATTCAATCAGAATGCATGGAGTACAACAGTCTTTGAGGTCCTTTGCTGGGTGTTAACCCTTTGGAAGGTAAACTATGCTGATATCCAGGAATACCAGAGGCTGTTACACATGGTGTTGGCTCAGGGAAGCAGATATTGATAAATGTACAAAATAATTTAATTATTTTAATGACTAGTATTGTTGAATATTATCTTTGCTGCATTTTCAAAACAGTTGGGAAGTAGTCTTTATTTTTCTATTCTCTGTAAGTGACTTTTTCTTCCTCAGATGTTAAGTAGAACTCTCACAGGTGAAGACTTAATGGGCCTAGAGTTTTATTTATGGGAAAGTTCTGGATTATTGATTTAATTTCTTAAATTGTATGGGATTACAAAAAAATACTATATTTTCTTATTAATTTTGGCAGGCTGTGTTTTTACAGGAATTTGTCCATTTCATGTGAATTTTCAAATTTATTGGATAAAGTTGTCGTTGACATCTACTTTTTAATCTTTTTTGGTATCTCCCTGATCTGCAATAAATATCTTCATTTCCATTCTCAATATTAGTGATTTGGAGGTATTTTTTTTCACTCAGTCTCCATAGAATTTTTCTTTTCCTTTTTGCAAAATTGAGATGGACATATAACATTGTGTAACTTTAAGGGTTATAATGCTTTGATACATATATATTGCAGTATGATTATCACCATAGTGTTAGCTAACACCTCTATCACATCACATAATTATAATTTATTTTTTCTAGTAAGAACATTTAAGGTCTAGTCTCTTAGCAACTTTTAAGTATATAATATCATATTAGGTTGGCATAGCATCACATTTCCAGAACTTACTCGTCTTCTAACTGCAAATTTGTACCTTTTAACATCTTCACAACTAACCACACCTCCTAAGTTGCTAGTAACTACCAACTACCAATGGTCACTACCATGACTTTTTTAGATTTCACAAATTAGTAATAAATACAGTATTTGTCCTTGTCTGGTTTATTTCCTTTAAGCAAGCATAATGCTCTCAAGATCCATATATATATATATATATATATATATATATATATATATATATATATATATATATATATGCTACATCTGTTTATTCACCTTTTCATGGGTATTTAGGTTGTTTCCATATCTTGGCTTTTGTGAATAATGATACAAAATACATGGGAGTGTAGATCTCTGTTAAATATCCTGTTTTCATTTCCTTTAAATATATACCCATTAGGGGGATTGATGGATCATACGGTAGTTCTATTTTTAATTTTGGGGCAAACCTCCAACTGTTGTCCATAGTGGCTACATCAATTTCCATTGCCACCAACAGTATACAAGGAATCCCTTTCTCTATATCCATGCAAACCTTTATCTCTTGTCTTCTTGATGATAGCCACTCTAACAGGTTTGAATGATATCTCATTGTGGTTTTGATTTGCATTTCCCTGATGATTAGTGATGTTGAACACCTTTTCATGTCCTGTTGGCCATTTGGATGTCTTTGGAAAAATGTCTATACAGTTACTCTGCCCATTTTTTCCATTTTTTTTCATCATTTTGTTTGTTATTGAGCTGTGTGAATTATATATTCTGTATATTAACCCTTTATCAGATATATGGTTGGCAAATATTTTCTCTCATTCTGTAGGTTGCCTGTTCATTTTGCTGATTGTTTCTTTTGCTATACAAAAGCTTTTAAGTTGGAGCTTACTTAAGGCCTACTTCTTGATTTTTGCTTTTGTTGTTTGTGCTTTTGGTGTCACATCCAAAAAAATCATTGCCAAGACCATTGTCTGAAAGCTGCTTCCTTGTTTTCTTCTAGGATTTTTTCAATATCAGATCTTACATTTAAGTCTTTAACTCATTTCGAGGTAACTTTTGTGTAAGATGGAGGCCTAATTTCATTTTTCTGGATATAATTATCCAGTTTCCCAACACCATTTATTGAAGAGACTGTCCTTTCTCCATTGGATGTTCTTGGATCCCTTGTCAAATATTAGCTGAATACATATGGAGGTTTATTTCTGGACTCTGGACATTTTTGTTCTTTTTCACCGCCCCATAGCCCATGAACATTTAATACCACAGATAAATATTTGCTGATGTACTGTGGCCACAAACCATAGTAACAGCTAAGAGTTTTTCTCTTTCTCTAAGAACTAGTTTTCCTCCTTGAAAGCCTAATTGCCCTCCATGAGAATGTATGTCTTTTTTTAAAAAAAAAAAGATTTATTTATTTTTTTTTAATTTATGATAGAAAGAGAGAGAGAGACAGGCAGAGGGAGAAGCAGGCTCCACGCCAAGAGCCCGTCCCGGGACTCGATCCCGGGACTTGACCCCGGGACTCCAGGATCGTGCCCTGGGCCAAAGGCAGGCGCGAAACCGCTGAGCCACCCAGGGATCCCCTGTATGTCTTAAAGGTATCTAGAACTTTAATTTCTGATTATACTGCTAAATCCTGTTTTCTAGTATTTTACTTAGACTTTAACACATTTGTAAGGAGTATTGGTCTATAGCCTCTTACCCTACCCACAATGTGGTTTTTTTGTTTGTTTTTGTTTTTTGTAGTTTTGGGGCAAGTAGAAGCTACTGAAGGGTTTTATTTATTTTATTTTTTTATTATAAATTTATTTTTTATTGGTGTTCAATTTGCCAACATATAGAATAACACCCAGTGCTCATCCCGTCAAGTGCCCACATCAGTGCCTGTCACCCAGTCACCCCCACCCCCCACCCACGTCCCCTTCCACCACCCCTAGTTCATTTCTCAGAGTTAGGAGTCTTTCATGTTCTGTCTCCTGAAGGGTTTTATTCAGAGGCATAACTAGATTTTTTTTAAAGAGAAAGACCTCTCTTGCTGCATTGTGGAAAATAAATGTAGAGAAATGAGTCTAATGACATAGATTTTTAATGATGTTGTAAAAACGTAGGTGTTAACTAGCCTTGTGATACATTCAAGAAGTATCTGGAAATAACTGAATGGAAATTGATAATCATATGCATGCAGAAGTTTAAATTTTTAAAAAATTTTTAATTTTATTTTATTTATGATAGTCAGAGAGAGAGAGAGAGAGAGGCAGAGACATAGGCAGAGGGAGAAGCAGGCTCCATGCACCAGGAGCCCAACGTGGGATTCGATCTCGGGTCTCCAGGATCACACCCTGGGCCAAAGGCAGGCACCAAACCGCTGCGCCACCCAAGGTTCCCATATGCATGCAGAAGTTAAGGAAGAAAGAATAGTACAGGCTGACTCCCAGGCTTTTCACCTTTATTATAACTTGACTATTACCTTCTGACATATTAATTCAGAAGCAGTAATTCTTTCAGCCAAATTTGACTTTGCGTTACAGAAAATGGCAAGATTACCATTCAAGGATTTTTAACTGAGTTCTGCAATACAGAATTCCTAGAATTGAGAATTCCTAAAGTCACAGGTGAGTTTTACTTAATATGTATCTATTGCCTACGTCTAGAATGACAAGCAGTGGTTTTCATGTTAAAACAACACAGGATTAGACAGTTACCGTACGGATTAGAAAAAATAGGATAAAACAACACAATACTGGGTTATATAATTTTTGTTCAAATTGTATGGCAAAGATTGCTAAGCTTACCCCAAATTCAAAATTGTAGGTAGTTTTGCTCTAGTAGTACTAGAAAATTACTAGATTATATTTATTCTCTGAGATTATTCACTAGGTATATCTGACCTGAATTTATTGGAATCATTTATTTATAAATGATTAGAAAATAATTTTGAAAACTTTTGACAAAGCTACCAAAGTATACTTTATGCCTATCTTTTTTTTTAATGTATCCTTAGCCACTCTACTACATTGATTTAGAGCAAATTTATGTTTATTGTAATGTAAACTTACATATGGTAAAATATGTATTTGAAAATAATGTCATGTAACTGTTATTAAACAGCACATAGAATATATCACCCAGGGCAGCCCGGGTGGCTCAGCAGTTTAGCGCTGCCTGCAGCCCAGGGCCTGATCCTGGAGACCTGGGATCGAGTCCCACGTCGGGCTTCCTGCGTGGAGCCTGCTTCTCCCTCTGCCTGTGTCTCTGCCTCTCTCTCTCTCTGTCTTTCATGAATAAATAAATAAAATCTTTAAAAAAAAACAAAAAGAATATATCACCCAGATGTTCCCTTGTTTCCATGTGTACCCCATTCTCTCCTTGAACCCTCATTCCTGGTAACTACGGATCTATTCTTTGACTCTAAAGTTTTGCCTTTTTTAGAATGTCACATGAATGAAATCACAACATATGAAGCTCATTTGAGTCTGGCTTTGTTCACAATGTATATTATACTTTATATTCATCAGCCATTTGTATATAGCTTGTTTCATTTTATTGATAAGTATTATTTCGTTATATGAATGTACAATTTATACATTTACCAATTGATAAGCTATTGAATTGTTTCTGGGTTTTGGTAATTATGTATATGTACTGCTGAAGTGAGAACTGGGTTTTGGTAATTATGAGTGAAACTTTTATAAACATATTTTTGTGTTGACATATCTTTTCATTTTTCTTAGCTGAATACCTAGAAGTGGGATTGCTGGGATATATTGTAAGTGTATATTTAAATTAATAGAAACTGCCAAATATGAATTTATGATAGATAACATCCATTTATGATAAAAAATCTCAACAAAGTGGGTTTAGAGAGAATATACCTCAACATAATGAAGCCATATGTGACAAGGCCACAACCAACATATTCATTGGTGAAAAACTGAAAGGTTTTCTTCTAAGATCAGGAACAAGACAAGGAGCACATTCTTGTTAACATTTTTGTTTTGTTTTGTTTATTGAAATATAGTTGCATGCAAAGTTATATTAGTTTCAGGTGTACAACATAGTGATTCAACAATTCTGTTTTATTCAATTTTCCCCATGATAAATGTGGTGACAGTGACCATCTGTCATCACAAAATATTATTATAGTATTATTGACTATATTCCCTATACTGTAATTTTTCTCTCCACTTTTGCTCAGCTTTTATTCATAGTATTGGAAGTCCTACTGAGGACAATTAGGCAAGAAAGAGAAATATAAGGCATCCAAATTGGAAAGAAAGAAGTAAAACTGTTACTATTTGCAGATACAATGATATTATATGTAGAAAACCCTAAAGGCCCTACCAATTCTGTTAGAACTAATAAACTCAGTAAAGTTATGGAATATGAAATCAATATAGAAAAACCAGTTGCATTTCTATTCACTAATAAACTATCAGAAGAAGAAATTAAGAAAACTATCCCATTATAATTACATCAAAAAGAATTAAAAATTTAACCAAGGAGGTGAAAGGATCTGTACATTGAAAAGTATAAGACACTGAAGAAAGAAATTGAAGATGACACAAGCAAATAGAAAGATACTCCATACTCAGGGATTGGTAAGACAAATATTGTAAAATGTCCGTACTACCCAAAGCAATCTACTCAATAACAATCCCTGTCAAAATTCCAATAGCATTTTTCATAGTCAGAGAACAAACAATCTTAAAATTTGTATGGAACCACAGAAGACCCTGTTAGCCAAAGCAGTCTTGAGAAAGAACAAGCTAGAGCCATCCTACTTTCTGATTTCAAACTTTATTACAAAGCTATAATAATAAAAACTGTATGATATTGGCATAAAAACATAGATCAATGGAACAGAACAGAAAGTGCAGAAATAAGCCCTTGCATATGTCAATTCATTCATGACAAAGCAGGCAAAAATATATAATATACAAAGGCAGACTCTTTGATAAGTAGTGTTTGGCAGCTGCATGCAGAAGACTGAAACTGGACTGCTGTCTTAGACTCTGCACAAAAATTAGCTCAAAATAGATTAAAGACTTGCTGGTAAGACCTGAAACCACAAAACACCTAGAAGAAAGCATAGATAGCTCTTTGGCAACAGTTTTGGAAAAAATTTTAAAAACCCTAAATTTTGTCTATTAATACGATACCATAGGTAAAGTCAAAGAACAAATAAAATGGGAGAAACTATTTGCAGTGTATATCATGGAAGAAATATAGAAAATTGGGCAAAAGCCATGGATGTACAAATCATAAAAATATATAAAAAGACCCATGAACATATTAGATGTTTGATTTTACTTATAACAAGAAATATGGAAGCTAAAATGGAGATATAATTTCTCACCCATTAGATTGACAAAAATTGAAAACCTTGACACCATATCCTGTTTGTCAAGTTGTAGAGAAAAAGGCATTTCTCTATAGGTTGTGAGCATGTAAAATACGCATTTATCTTTTGACTAGCAATCCTACTTCTAGGAATTTTCCCTGAAGATACCTTCCACCAATGCGAAAATATAGATGCATAAAGTTATTCATTATAGAATTATTTGAAATTGCAAAATAAGTGTAAAAATTGAAGATTAGTTAAATAAAGTATAGCATCTATATTATACAACTATAAACAAGAATTTTTTAAAAAAGAATTACATGCCTGTACTTTTTATACTACTGATTTTATACTTTCCAACATTTAAATCTACAGATTTCCCTCTGAGCCCTTTCACTGCATCTCACAAAATTTTGTATTTTATGCTTTGATAATATCTTAAATATTTTCTAATTTACCTTTTAATAATTTTTTTGAAATATGAGTTTTTTTTAGAAATGTACTATTTCATTTCCAAGTATTTGGACATTTTCTTTTTTTTTTTGTTTTTTTTTTATAAATTAATTTTTATTGGTGTTCAATTTACCAACATACAGAATAACACCCAGTGCTCATCCCGTCAAGTGGTATTTGGACATTTTCTAGGTATCTTCTTGTTACCAATTTCTAATTTAATACGCCTTGGTCAGAGAATTTATTTTGCACAATTTAAATTCTTTTAAATTAACTAAGATTTGTTTTAAAGACTAGTATGTGGCCTATCTAGGTGAATATTCCATGTGCACTTGAAAGAATATATATATATATTTATTCTATATATATATTATATATATATATTCTGTAGTTGTTGGGTAGTGTTCTATAATATACATCAGGTTAGATTGTTTGTTAGTTTGGTTGATATTCTAATTCTTAGTTATGTTTATTCTACTTGTTCTATTAATTACTAAGTGCAAGGCATTCAAATCTGCAGCTCTGATTGTGAGTTCATGTATTCCTCCCTTTAATTCTGTAAGTTTTGGCTGTATTTTGAAGGCTCTTGTACACATCTGGTATTGCAGAATTTATGTAGATGACATTATGTAATGTACTTTGTCTTTTGCTCTCTTTTGCCTTTTGTCTTTTGTTGTTCCTCTGTTCCTTTCCCCCAATTTACACATTTATGTGTACTTACTGTCACCTATTTTTATTTTTAAAACATAAAGGAAAAACATGAAAATTCCTCTCTAACTGGAGGTGATTATCTCTCTCCAGGAGATAAAGATCAGTTTTACATCAACATTCACAAAAATGAACTTAAAGTTATTCCGGACCTTCAGCAAAATTTAAATGCCATTGGAATCTATTTAACAGATGATAAAGGAGGCTTTGGATAATACTAATCCTAATGGTGAGTAATTATTTCAATTTAAAATAACAAAGCTTGAGAATTTCAGAAGTTTCACCCTAAATGCCCAAGAAGATATACTTCTTTATATTTTTTAAAAGAAAAATCTAAAATGTATTTTCTTTTCTTTCAATTGATGGGTTTTTATTGAAGGAATTGATTTTCAAAGTACATCTCCTACAGCTTTATTTTAGGTCTAATCTGCATATCCCATACATCACAGTAGGACTGCCAGTCTTTCTCATTATTTTTGTTTATAGCTCTGGTTTTATAACATCAAATGGTCTTTTTTACAAGAATATCTAAATTCTTTCTTTTTTTCTTTTTTAAAAAAGGCTGATGTGAATTTTAAGGATTTTATCAAAGCATTGAGCAACAGTGATGAATTTATTGAGTGCCAAAGTAAGTATGAAATTTGAAATATATGAACAGAAACTTCATTTTTTGAGGGTTGGTGTATGTATAGGTATGTATATATTTTTTAAACTCTGGGTTGAAAACCATGAACACATAATTTTCATACTACAATATTCTTGCATTACTTTTTTTTAAAGATTTATTTATTTTGAGAGAGAGAAAGAGAGAGTCGGGGGAGGAGCAGAGGGAGTGAATCTTTCAAGCAGACTCCCTATTGTAGTCCTTAGACTGGGGTTTTATTTTTATTTTTTTAAGACTTTATTTATTCATGAGAGACACACATACACAGAAAGAGAGAGAGAGAGAGAGAGAGAGAGAAAGAGAGAGGCAGAGACAGAAGCAGGCTCCATGCAGGGAGCCCGATGCAGGACTCAATCCCGGGACTCTAGGATCATGCCCTGAGCCAAAGGCAAGACACTCAACCACTGAGCCACCTAGGCGTCCCATAGACTGGGGTTTTAAAATGAGAATTAAAATAGTGACTTCTCTCTAAATTAATATGTACTTTGAATACAATTCCACCCACTATCTCAGAATAGTTTTAGCGGGAAACTTGACAAAATAATTCTATATTTTTTGGAAGATTATAGATCTATGAATAGCTAAGACCCTTTTGAAAAAATAATGAGGAGGAGTTTGCTTTATCAGATATTAGTGCATATTATA